CAACTTGAAAGCTCACTCGTTTTAATTCTAACCTGAGTATGCGTTCATTACGACAAAGGCAGATGGGCGACCTGAAAAGTAAATAATCGCTGAACACGTCTGTCGAACTCCACAGCTGGGAATGTACTTCATCCAGCAAACACAATAAGGTTCGATGGTTGAACCTTCTAGAATCGTGTACAGACCGATTGCAAACCCGGAAGTTGCCAATATGGGAAGGCACGTAACCCATTGTAAACTTGGAACTTTAGAAGCATAAAGAGCAAAAAAAAGAGAGGGGAATGCCAGATTGACAAGCTCTCCCTGAAGCCGAACACTGCCGTTCCTTCGAGAACGTCAGTAGACCGACTGTTCAGCGTCTCCGGAGATGGATTTTCGAGGAACCGGGGAAACGTAACTAACGAAAACTCGGAGAGGCAGCTACTGCTTAAGTGCAACGACTACCGAAAAGAAAGCAGTAAACCATGAAACAAAAACAGTAGTGTATTTGGTCGTAAAAGTAACGAGAAAAGTAACCCGTTACCTTTGAGGTAGTGTAACTCGTTCCTTTCGAGAATCGGTAACGAGTAACGTATTTAGTTACTTTTTGAGCGAGTAACAAGTAATGGCATCAAGTTACTTATGAGGGTAACGTGTGTGTCATGTCTGATAAACAAATCCGGTTATTTTTTCTTCCAAGCGGTCGGTATCTTCTGCTGGCTGTTTTGCATATCAAGTACGAATAGTTCTTCAGAAGAAAAAAAACAGTTCGAAGCTTGAAAAATGACCCTTTGGGGCAAGTTCGATTTATTTGACGCACAAGCGTCAAATTTGACTGGACTGTTCAAAATCACCAAGTCATTGAAATGGTTATGCGCTTAATGTTGTCCGAATATTCGAAATTTCGAATAGTAATTTTGAATAATAAGCTATTCAATATTCACTTCGAGATGAACTTTGATATTCGTACTTTTCGAAATGTTGATCGCGGCGAGTTAGCCCCTTTGAGTGCGCTTCTTACCGAGCATCTGGGCAATGCGGGGAAGCAATACCCGCGGAGCCTCAAGTATTGCTTTCCCGCAGCGGACAAGTGCTCGGTGAGAAGCGCACTGAAAGGGGGCTCATTGCCGCGATTATGCCAGAGTATGTTGTCAACCCGCGCTCATCATTCGTGCTTGTTTTGTTGTTGTTTTATAGTCGAATTTAAGATTGAAGAAAAAATATTTGTATATAGTGAGCGCATTTATAAATCTACATTAGCACTATTGCGACAATTCTGTCCTGTACATAGGCCACTGTTCATAAATATAGCTACATAAAAGTTGACCGAGCTATGGAGTGGACAAGAGGAAGGTGGGAAAAACCTTCGCAAATTCAGCTCAATTTTTACTTATAATGGTACACGGTGGTGAAAGGATTGGAGAAAGTATTCGATATTCGATTCGAAAATATTTGACCGAAACAACTATTCGCTTCAAATTCGTATCAAACTCAAAATACACTATTCGCACATGACTACCCAATTTCCACTCACAAAGACAACGGAATTGTCAGAAGTGCGGTTGTTCGTCAAAGAAACCTTCTGTGACGGCAGTGAAAACTTTCACTAGAGCCGCTAACTATAGTCAGCGTACAATGAGTGACAACAAACACGCGGCTGACAAATCTCCCACATTGCTTTCATCTCTTCTTTGCTTGTTGTTGCGTCCACGTAGTTTTGTTTCTACGCGCGTTACGATCAAAGAACAACACTGCTTGCTGTTGTTTCTTTGCGTGCTTGTAATGCATCTGAGGAAAATATTCGCTCACTATCGCGTATTCCAAGAGCTTCCAACAATGAACTGGGGCTTGCGTCAGACTTGTTTCGCGCTATCCTATTTATGGGTGCGGCGTAACTGTCGCTCCAAGTTGCTAAGCGAAGAAAAATATGTGCTTCGATTACCACAAGTGAAAGGTTGTCTCCATCGACTGCCTATCTTCGCACGCAGTTATTTCAGTACACTTATTATTGCACGCTCGAACGACGTCGACAGGAAGCTCGTCAATGCAGGCGCGACCATACCACATATATTCCCGTTGCAGAGGCAACGCGCCAAAAATAACATCCTAACGGGCGAATCATTCCAGCGTAGTGTTACAGTTCGATGTCCGTCAGATCCTGTACGAGGTTCGTGAAAGAGACACGGTGCGTATTCGCCTTGATCCCAGCTTCTTTATTAATTTCGCTGCCCGCCCTCTTAGCCAGTGGCACTTTATTCAAGAGGCAACACACTAAGAGTCATAAAGTAATCCCACGCTTCATGCATGTTTCAGTTTCACTATCACCGGGCCATTACAATATGTAGGCTCACAGCAGCGCCCTAACTGCACTCTCGCCAGCACGCACACACGCGAAACAAGTCGAACGTTGACGCAATACTCGTTTCCAATTTGTGTACGGTGGAAATTACGCCTAAAAAACACGGACGAAGAAAGAAAATTTGCGTCTTGCTCGATCTCAATGTCATGACGTCGAAATTCCAGTACGCATGCTTTGATGATTCCAGGCGGGGTTGGCAGGGTACGCTTATATAAATCACGCTCTGCTCTGTTGACTCGAATCGCGGGCCCGCGCTCTCGCTCGCACATTCATCATATATCTCCCCTTCTAGCCCAACGTAGCTGTGGAGTGGGCACAGTGCACAGGCGTTGTTGTGTCCATTCGGGTATTTCTGAGCGTGTAGACCCCTTCGTAGCGATGAGGTGTCCGTTTGGAGAGTGATGGGGGAGGGGGGGGGCTTTCCGGGAAGTGGCTTGAAGCCCTCGAGCTTCTTCTTATCACCGGAAGTGGGCTGAAGCCAGCGGAAGTGGTAATCAGACTGAAATATCGTTAGCGAGGCCGGACTTGGTTCTGTGTACATAGCGAAATCAACTTTCTTTTCTCAGACAGGGTTTCGGGTTCATTCGGCGGAAGCCCTTTCTGGTGTCCAAGACGACAAGCCGCCCAAGCTGAAAGGTTGGCCATGCGACGCCGCCGCCCAGTTGGATTCTCGAACAGCCTGGAACAAGGTAAATGAAGTGATCAGTGGCGTCAATGTGTAACGACTGAAAAAATTAAAAAAACGTCCCGTAAATTCTATATAAAAATAGAACTGTAAACTTATGTTACGTGAATACCAAACTGATACAACGGAGAAAAAAAAATCTCGTGATAAAGTATCTAGACTAGGCCATCAAATGACTTCACATGAAGTGCTCAGATATATTGTCGATTCAGTTATGAGGATGGAACGAACGCGACTTTTATTTGTTTCGTTAAAAACGACCCCAAATTTAAAATAACATACACTTTTGGCCATGTGGTGTTGGTATAGACTGGGGCACGCGTTATAGGGAGATCCTTTGAAAACGACCTATTTATACAGTAAAAGAATGCAGAAAGCTGACTTCCACTTTTTTCAAGTGACAACAAATATTGGTTTTTCCGGTTAGTACCATCGAGAAATATTGGTGTTCATTCGCTAGTCGGCCAAGCACTTTACTTTTAGGACGTTCGCAGGGTATTTCCAATTGAAACTACAGGTAATAATAACTTCTTGTACTTTTTTTTTTTTTTTTACTGTGCACTTGGGTGGAAAGACTACGTGCTTAGAGTAAGGGGACACTGCACGAGGATAGGGCTTTGTAATGGCCAGTTTTTTTTATATATATAAACAAGTTGTAATTTTTGTAAATAAAAGATTGCTTGCACACCAATATAAAAAAAATAGTGAAATCTTTCCCCGTTGCTGTTCACTTTCGGAGAAAATCGGTTGAGACGTTTTTTTCAGATCAACAAAAATTAATAGACACAAAGAAACTTGGCCCCATCTTATCTCAAGGTGTGTGGCCTTTACGTAGGATTCCGCGAAAATCCCATCTACTAGGGAATCTGGACAGCTGTTCATACTAACAGAGGAATTCAATATCGACGGAGTTGACAACGATACCTAGGATATTTTCTTTTTTCTTGAAAGGGGGGGGGGGGGGGGGGGGGGAGGGGATACAAGCTCGGTTAACAGGGCCTGCCACGTGTTCAAGTACTGGGATAAGAACGACACCTTTACTTTACCTCGGTGTTGAGTAGTTTTCGCAACACTCTCCTTGAAGCAAGCATTTTGTTCCCCTGTTTTAACACACCAAAAGTTGTCTGAGAACAGGAGCAGCCCTGCAGAGATGACAGGTGATCCTCTGCATCATCTTTTCTTGTCGGTTTTCGGCAACAACCTTTCAGATGAATGAATTCGGCGTTTACCTCGTTCACGCGTACGTCTAGAGTTAAAACCAGACGTGAGTTAGGGAATGTATTTAAATCAATATTTTGTTCTTATTTTGCTTCGTATTATATTCTGCTTATTTGTTATGCGTGGCGATGGTCATACGTACTCTTTTTCCTTTGTTCTAAACGCCTTCTGTGTTTTAGTTTATTATTTCATTTATTTACAGAGAAGCCTGAATCGCCGTGAGGCATTTCAGCGGGGGGTGGGTTACATACGTTCATACAAAAGTCACTGGTATATATATATATACAATATCGAAACTATGCAGATAATTTAACCGTACTTTTTCGAATGAATGAATGTTTTGCGAGACTGCCGAAGCCAAAATAAACCGCGGAGCCAGGATTTGCACTCCGGGCCTCCCAATGTCCGGTTGGGCGAGCTAACCACTACAGCACTACACTTTTTTTTTCTTCTTTATTGCTGGGTAAAAAAAAGAAAAAGCACACAGTAATTCACACACGTAAAAGTTGCCTCAGAGCGAATCAGCCACTTAGCGGCGGGTGCGAGTGCAATTAAATATTTTTAAACACACCAACTCATCTAGTATTGGCAACCAATCAGGGGGCCCCGAGAGTGCACGGTATACCTCACAAATATATGCCACACTTCCGATTAAATTTTCTGTTACTGTTTTGGTACTCACATCAGCATTATTAACAATCATTCTTGTCCTCTACAGACTGCGGAGGCCGAGAAGTATGCACATATAGTATAGGAAGTCCTCCCTCGTTTTCCAGGGGCAAAAGGCGGATGCCGTGCGCAGTTAAAGGTAGATCCTTCTTCGGCGTGCGCTGAAAAATGTCCCAATGAAACACCGCGTCCGAACACTCAATAAGTACGCGCTCTATTGTCTCATGTTTCTTGCAGAGGATGCAATTCATTGACCACGGTACAAAAACACCTGTCTCTTCTAGATACGTTTTTACAAGAAATGCGTCGCAAAGCAATTAAAATAAAAAAAAAACGATTTCACCGAAGGTTTGATTGGCATTTTCTTCACCCTATTAAGCACATCCAGGCCTGGACATTAACAGTACAATAACCTATAGGGAGTTATCGGCCACAGTACATCTATTAAATCTTTATGTAATCGTTTTCAGGAAACTGAACTGAGATACTCTAAGGAAAAGCGCACCTTGAGTATTCTAAAAGAAAGCACGACTTCACACAAATAACTTTGTACACTGCAACGTAGTTGATCCCAAGACGACACCACAAACTCAGGAAGTGCACAATTCAATCGCACCTGCATAACAGTACAAAAAAATCAACCTTTCTGGTCACAGAAATACCCCAACCTAGGCGCAATTTGTCGTAGAAATAAATAGGTCCAATCCTAGACCACCATTACCAACTCAACGGAAAATAATTGTACGAGCAGAACGCTTTCAGCTCGAATTCCAGGTGAAAACAGCTAAAAATTAGTGCAGTCTCTGCACGTTGAGACGCGGCATACACAGCACTTGCAAAATGTACCAAATTTTAGCAGTTAGAAATAAATTACAAACGGTAGCGCGCGCAAACATGGAGAAGTCTCTGCCCTTCCAGCTCTCCGCTTTGGCCCTTACCCTCTCCGTCTCTCCACTCCATAATTACCTGCTGTCCCGGTGGTGCTCGAGTGGCACCCCGAGGTACTTCGCAGGTAAGGCTGTCCAGTGAACATTCACAAGATCATCGGGTGCGGTGGCCTAGAGTTACCGTGCCAGAGATTTACGTTTTTGCCCCAGTTGATAGCACTACCCGTTTTCATTCAAAAGGAGGAGGCACTGCGCTGACTACTTCATGAACTCTGTCTTGGTCGACACAACAAACAGCAACGTCATGTGCATACCAAAATAACTTTTACTTCGCAAGAGTGTAACCTAAAACCATGTATACTGTCATTTTTATTCAGTTAATCAGTAAAACAAAAGGGTTCCAAGTAAATCGGAAACAGCAGGGGAGACATTGGACAGTCTTGCCTTCCAGAAGACCGGACCTGTACACTTTCACTGACGTTCTTATTTAGAATGATTGACATCGAACATTTTTCGTATACCATTCTTAACCCGTCTAAGTTCACAGACCCTACATTAGCATGCTCCAAATTAAAGAAACATACGTCATGCGACACACGATCGAATACCTTGTCCAGATCTAGCTGCAATATAGAATCTCCGTTGAAGGCGTCGCAACGTTTTAGAATGCTCCTTACCATATATGTATGTTGGTAAAAATAGTTCGGCCTTTCATACCACGTATCTGATGCGGTCCCACAAGGTCTTTTATAAATCTATGCAAACGTCTAGCCAGGACTTTTGTGTAAATTTTGTAGTCGGCATTAGTCAGACTTATTGGCCTGTAAGAGTCAACAGACAGTAGCTTCACAAGGTCATCAACTTTTGGAAGGAGGACAGTGTGGCTTTTCAAAAAGGATGGCTGTAACTTACTTATGCAATACGCTTCCGATAGCGCCTCGTACAAAACGTCACTGAGGCCATCCGGCCCAGGCATTCTGCCCGCGGTTAATTCGTCTAAGGCACCTTCAAGCTCGCGGACGCTGATCGGCTATTCAAAACTTTCTTGAACATGCTCTTCAAGCGTGGGCATGAGCGACAAAAACTCGGCGTCGAAACCGGCATCTTTTGGTACTCTTTGACCCATCAAATCGGTATAAGAATCAACGAACGCTCGATCGATCGTTTTCTTATCAACGAACGCTCACTCGATCGTTTTCTTATCAACGAACGCTGGGCATACCTTTTCTCGTCGCTCAGCGCCCGCCTCGTAGGTATTTCGCCCATCCATAGCCTCTGGGACCGTGTGCTCATGATCAATGTTGCGCACGATAGCCCCTCTATATCTTTCACATTCTATTATTTCAAGTTGGTTCTTGATATCTCTTATTTCTTGTACAAATTTACTCGGTTTCGCACTTTCTTCGATTAAAAACAAAGGCAATTGACGGCGCAGATCTTTTTTTTCTTGTGTTTCTGATAATTAAGGACACTGCTGCTTTCAACTGCGTTAACTTTTACTTCTTCGAAAAGTTTCCACCTGGCACACCACATTCTCGTGTCGTCCTCGTAACATTTCATAATTAATTCATACACTTTAGATTTAAAAACTTCATCCTTCATAAGCCTACTGTTTACTTCCAAAAGCAACCATTCCCTCCTTAACTTTTTAACTTTTTTTTTTTTACCAAGGGTGAAAATAATTAGTTCATGATCACTAAAAAAAAAGAGGTTGAACGTAGTAGTCACATAGCGGGACAAGACTAAGTGAAACATAGACCCTGTCAAGTCGAGCATGACGCTACTTTTGGCGGTGACGTTAGCGACGTCCTCTTATTGCGCCTTGAGAGCGCACTCAGGGAAAAGGAACAGGATGATGTAGTTTTGGTGGATGGTTTACTTCGACTTCTTCTTTTTCTCTTTATCCGCTCCCATGCTCGCACGCGAAGAAGGATCGTTTTAACCTTAATTTTCAACACTCTAACGCATTTTCAGCGACAATGTCATTCAAATAAAGAGCAATTGAGTCGCGAACCCGGGTTTCATTAGCATGATCCTCTGGCTCAAAAAGAAAAATCGCAAAATACAAAACGGCCAGACGCACACGAAACCATGGCCGTCTCAACGACGCCTAGAGACCGGCGTCGTTGAGGCGTCTTACACGCTAAGGGGCAACCTCCGGAAGTCCCCTTAGCGTGTAAGACGGAAGCATTGAAGAGTTCAAAAGGGTGCACCATGCACCCTTTTGAACTCAAAGGTGGCGGCATGGTGCAGCCACGTTTGAATATATCACTTGCACTTGTTATCATCGCACGTGATGTGTTCAAATGTGGCTCTTGATTCTCGCAGATTATGATGATGCCGTGTCTCTAAATCTCATAAAAAAATACATGTACACGTGACGAGACTAGCAGTGAGAGGATTTCTAGAGCATAATGAGCACTACGTGCTAGCAAGCATCGTACCACGTTCCACGCGGCGGCGTGTGCTTCCAGAACACCACTGATTGGATACATTTCTTTTTCTGTGCATTACAAAGACAGGTAGGAAACGGAAGAAAGTCAAGGTGGAGTGGTGCAGTCGTGGAGTGCTTAGCACACTCAACCGGACGTTGGGAGGCCCCGAATTCAAATCCCGGCTCCACCGTTTATGTTGTCTTTCAGCGGTTTCGTAAAACATTGAATCATTCAATTAAGTACGGTTCATTCATCTGTATATTTTCGATTATGCCGTATATATATATATATATATATATATATATATATATATATATCTACGGGGTGTTTCACGAAAGGTGGACAAATTCGATATTGCGAAAACTACGCGCCGCAACAAAAAAGGCTTATGTCGTTCTGGTTCTGGGCCAGGGGCATATATAGGAAAATTATTAAAGTACGGGATAATTAGATTGTTATTTATTTAAACTTTAAAACCCGTCGAATTTGTACGGTTTTTCAGAAAGCCGTAAAATGCTTCGCGTGCCTTCTATCGTTCTGCAACTTTTTTTATTTACTGTTTTTCGACGATGCTGAGCAATTTTCTAATTGAAACCATGCCCTTAAACACAATATTAAAAAAAAGTTAATTACGCAAAAATAATTAACAACTTAATTATCCCGAACTTTAATAATTTTCCTAGATGGGCCCCTGGCCCAGGACCAAAACGCCACAAACCTTTTTTCGCTGCGATGAGTAGTTTTCGCAGGAGCGATTTGGCCTGCGTCCTATGAGACACCCTGTATATATATATATATAAAACTGAGAAGAAAAAAACCCTTAGTGAAAAACAGCAACAACGGACGATTTAATCTTCGACGTTTCGGCCGGAGTCCGGCCTTCGTCAGGAAGGTTCTTCCTGACGAAGGCCGGACTCCGGCCGAAACGTCGAAGATTAAATCGTCCGTTGTTGCTGTTTTTCACTAAGGGTTTTTTTCTTCTCAGTTTTATACCCACGCCTTCGGCCTCCCGCCACCATGCCCGTTATATATATGTATATATATGATGTTTGCAATTCCGAGGCTCGATCTAAAATGAGCCGTAAAAATCAACGCCTGCACGTAGACATCCAAATTTTTCGTGAAAGGTATATTTCTCAGGTCGTTTTTCTCTTGTAAAATTACAAAGCGTAGCTCCCTTGCTGTAAAAAATAGGGCCAAGAAGATTGCCAGGGTTAACGGCAGACGGCGACGCAGACGACCGAGTCGAGTGGCGGGGCGCGATAACACTACTTCTGTGTTGCTTTTGGTGCATCCAGGAACAGCGTGTGATCACTGCTCTTCGTAACACGGAAGGTGATCATGACGAAAACGAAGATGGCGGACGGAGATCAGCCCGTGGACCGAAAGCTGGTGGCCGTGGGCGACGGCAGCTGCGGCAAGACCTGCCTCCTCATCAGTTACTGCAGCGAGGAATTCCCCACCAGCTACGTGCCCACCGTCTTCGAGACGTACAGCTCAATCGTACAGTGGTGCCAACAAAGGGTGTGCGCAGCGAGCCCTTATTGTTTCTGAAGGTTTCTTAACTATACCGGACCTCTGAGAAAACTATACAGTCCGTTTCGCCTTACGACAGACAGCAGAAGGCACAACGAGCTATCGCGGGAACCAATCCAATGCCGTGTCAATGTCACGTGATCCTCAAGGGGTTGCGAGTAGGCACGTGGTACGATGACAGCACTGGATTGGTTGGATGTCTCGCTGCTACCGCTGCGGTTCATCGTAGGATAAAGTGGAGTATAGTTATCGCCTTAAACTTTTTTTTTTGCTATTTCAGTTTACGAAGCCAACATGAAGCCTATAATCTGACATTCCTCTCGTATTTTCGTAGTTGAAGACAAGGTAGGCACCGAATTCGATTGTTACATCACCGAAGACTAAAAGTGGAAATGGGAACATTACTTTTTGTTGCTGATGATTTTTCTATGACATTTTTCTTGGAATTACGGTATTTGTTTCTATCATTTTATCACGGAGATATGAGAAAGGCATAATACTACTTTCTTTGTCAAACGATGAAAGGCGTATCGAAGTTCGTTATAGTTTGTTTTGTTATTCTCGCGCATCGTCAAAAAACGTTTTTATTAAACAGTTTCCAGTAGCTCTTGAAGACTGCCTAGATATTCACAGCATAGCATTATCCTATGAACTTTGTGAAGCCAAAACGAGCGAACAGTATTGCTCTGCGGGACATATTTTGTGATATTCAATTCTCGTTCGTCCGTCTTGACACATTTTTAATAGTTTTTACAGACACCCTTATCTCTATTGAAAAGACACCAACGTTTAATTTTAAATGATAGCTAGAACGCCATCTTTAATAATCAATATGATCACTTTAATGTAGACAAAGAAATATTTCGAACGAACTATTAGTTGGACCCATGCTATCTATTTAAACTTTCCCACTCTTTTACCCTAGAAATCTTGATGTCAGCACCCTTTTCACTTTAGTACATGGAACTACTTTTAATCCCAGATGTCTCCTCAGGGTTGATATTGCCAGCCGGTCACTGGCCCACTTCATCTCAGTTACACATTCTATGCGGTAGTCACGAAACAAATAACGATAGTTCGAAGTTTCCAGGCTAAAACGTCGTAGCCAGGTCTTACCGAGCGTAGGTGTACTTTGAAAATATACCTTTTATACAAAAATATATCAGACGTTTTGGTTCTGGTTTTATGGAATATATTCAAACCTGTAAGATTGCGTTGCAAGAAGACTAAACTGCCAGATACCAGAAGCCCTTCTTGCGCCCATGTTTCCCAACCTCTTTCGTTCTGATCTCGGACGTGCTCTTATATATAGGTGCGGCTTTCGCTCTGGGACACCGCGGGCGAGGAGGACTACGACCGACTCAGGCCCCTGTCGTACTCCCAGGCCAGCGCGGTCCTGGTGTGCTTCGCGCTGGACAACCGGGACAGCTTCGTCAACGTCGAGTTCAAGTGGGAGCCAGAGATCCGGCACTACCTGCCCAAGGTGCCCATCGTGCTCGTGGGAAACAAGCTGGTACGTGGAGCCCGCCAATTCTTCAAAGACAAAAAAATACAGTTGTATTATTGTGCACACTGCAGGGAAGGCTACAGGTGCCACCTCGTAGCTTTGGTAAATGAACCTGCTGCACGAACTCGCAAGCAGCCAACTAAAACGCGATAGAACACTGGTTGTACGCTGAGGTTTGAGGCAATATAGTTCGTGCTAAGTTGCGTTCACACTGATCATAAGGAGCCGTACCTTATACAGTGGATTCTTGTTAATTTAAACTCTCTTAATTGAAACTCGCAGATAATTCAAACTAACATGCAGGTCCCGTCCTATGTGTTTCTAGGAAGGAAACTCCAGAAAATTTTAAATTTTCATTATTCCAACAAAGTTCAGGTCCCCCTCGGGTTCAAATTAACAACATTCCACAGTATATATATGTATAAAAAAAGACACTGTGTTTGCTGCAGATACGATGAAGAAGTACTTACGCTCCGAACATGTCTGCAGGCAGTTTTTGAATAACCAATGTGGCAGGACAGTCACACAAGGAAGAGACGCGCTTCGGACAGTGGGCAATGTCTGTAGAATATTTGGTATGATGCATTGGACCGCTGCAATCTACGGAGAGAGCTAGGCGAAGAACGAGACAAAAAATATATCTACAGACTAAAAAAAAAAACACTCTGTGCTGTGGCATGACGTTTCACCATACCCAGCGCCACATGGCAGACTGTATTCTTAGGTATAAACGTATTTCCGCACGACCTCAACCGATGAGAGCGCACTCTTGGCTGCGTCGTCATCGCGCGTTCCCTGCACGGTCCACGTGTTGCCTTTTTTGACATTCCGATGCCTCAAAGACGTATTTTTAGAACGCTTGCTCGCCGTATGCATTCACTTCAAAAGTTCCTTCGGTATCGACTTTCATTCCGGTTCCACTGTACACGCAGGATCTGAGGGAGAGCCACATGGTGCCCGAGGTCCGGCCCCGCAACTACAAGCCACCGGTGTCGACTCGAGAAGGCCGGTCCCTTGCCGAGCGGATACGGGCCTCGGCTTACGTCGAGTGCTCCGCCCTCACGCGGCAGAATATTCCTGAGGTCTTCGACGCCGCCATCAAGGCGTCCTTGCAAAGCGTGGGTCGTCGCCTCGAGAATTTTTCACCGCCTAAATGACGCTTTTAAGATGTTATCAAGTTAATTAACACAAGGGCTCACATCAAGCAAAAACTCTACCTGTTCTTTTTTATTTATAGTTTTTTTAATTACAGTCGTCTTTGAACTCCAGTGCCTTAACCAACTTGGATTCTAACTGGTCAAAACTAGGGCTCTGTACTGATTACGTTTTAAAGCGATAGATGTATCCCAACCATCCATGGAAGCGGCGTAGCAGGGAGTGGGAGCGGGGGGGAGGGGGGGGTGGGCTTATGGGGCTTCATCAGCCTACCCCCCCCCCCCCCCCCCCCCCGAAACCAAGGCACATGCATTCTGATAGCCCCTACTCCACTCCGCACCCCAAGTCATGGACATCCCTGCCACCTCAACCCCCTTCCCCCCCCCCCCCCTCCAAAAAAAAAAAAAAAAGAAAATTCCTCGCTACGCAATATAGCTTTACGGGCCATCCTTGCTCGCGTTGGTCTCACCTAAGGCGTCGCAATGTCCTGGGACATCAATTCTCCGCTAAATGTAGTAAGAAAATCGACGTCACATTCGCAAGTTGGGTTGTCTCGTGATACACTGACGTCACGTTACCTGAGGTCACGCGCTGTGGTCACGTTACGTGACCTGACATCACATGAGGTCATGTCAGGCGACATCAATTTCCCCGTTAAATTAAGCGGGCAAATCATTATGGTGACATTTGACTTTCCAGTGTACCCTGTCGTCACAGTGTCGTGTGACATGAGGTCGCACTTTCACCGCTAAATTTAGGGAGGGGGGGGGTATATCCGCTAAATGCCGATAGAATGTGCTGGCTGAAATCCCAGTCAAGTGTTATCGCACATTCATTGCATTTGGCAAAACGTCTAAGCCAGGCGACATTTTTAACCGACCAGTCAGTTACCCTAGTCGATTAATCTGTCAAATGTGGAGGCTGACAGATATATTAGAAGTATCGAGAAACCAGAAACTTATCATTAGTAGGCCATTTGCGTAACACCACAAACCCATTTCGAAACCCCATCAAGCAACATTGGCGGACGCCAAATCATGTTTGTCTTTTTAGACTTAGGCTAGGTGGCGCTAGCTACCGCCCGTTACAAGGGGTATAGCCATTAACATTCATCCACCCTTGGGCACAAAGCGTGTGATTGGATCCGAGTCATCGCCGCATGCTGACGCAGCACTCGTTCTTGATACGAGCAGACCCGCGTTTACGCCGAACGCTGGCGCAGTCCTTGCATCCAATAGTTAGAAAATGTCTTTATTTGCTTCAGGACAGGAAAGGTATGAGTGTTGTCGGTGACTTTCGGGCCGGGACAGGGTGGCATGATCAAACTATCTCGAATTATCAGCACAGCAATCACTAAACGACGCCCACTTTTGCTAAAAAAAAAAGGAAGTACTGGCTAGGTGACGCAAATCGCCGCCCGATTTACAGGCTTCAGCCTCGTCCATCCGTCTATTGCTGAAATTCGTATAGCGGTGCGTGAACGAGTGAACAAAACGTTTCAATGCAGTAAATGTAATTTATTGGTTTGTAAGGCGTTTTCGATCTCACCTAATATGTCATTTTGCCTTTTTTTTTATTGATTTTCAGGTAAAGTACAAGAAGACTTTGCGGTGCACTCTTTTATAGCTACAAACGAAGAAGCGGAAAACATGTAATTCAGCGCCTCGAGATTCATCGACATCTTCACGCATACTCCATTGATCACTCGAGAGCTCTCCTCTCGATCCATGACATAGAGAATAAATCATTAATCAAGTTTCTTATCTGGGAATGACGTTGTAATAAAAAAAAAAAAAAAAAAAAACTTGTCAGGATTTTATGAAGACATAAAAGACAACTTGACACTCAGGAAAAGGTATGTCAATACGCATTTTTTAAAGCGTGTTCATGGGCGTAGATTAAAGTCACCCTACCCACCTTTGCAAAAATATGTTCAGAACAAACATATATGCACCACTTCATGCAAGGTTACTTCAGAAACCTCTATGCCTGTTGCAGAGTTTTGTTTCTTCACAAATTAACCTTCTTCGATCTTTTTTTTTTTTTTTATATACTCGCAGCCTTGAATAATTCGGAGGGTTTGTATTAAAGGGCTGCCGGAATAATGACCAGCGGGAGCATCCAGTCGGCCCTGCATATATATATACGGGACTTTTCAAGTCTCGCTTGAGGAAGAAGGGTCCCCCTTCGAAACGTCGCGGTTTCCGTATAACTTAGACATGTTGAATTAAACCTATATATGTGTGTGTGTGTGTGTGTGTGTGTGTGTGTGTGTGTGTGTGTGTGTGTGTGTGTGTGTGTGTGTGTGTGTGTGTGTGTGTGTGTGTGTGCGTGCGTGTGTGCGCGTGCGTGCGTGTGCGTGTGCGTGTGTGTGTGTGTGAAGGAGCCTCGTGCTGTCGTTTAAGGAGGGAACTCGGCGAATAGCAACTTTTTATACATTTAAAAAACTTTTTATACAAACTTTTTATACATTTAAAAAAGAGTCTGCGATGTGACATTGACCATGACGTTTCATCGCGCTCATTGACGCAACGTAAATTTTCCTGTATTTTTTTTTTTTTTTTTTATGAGACTTACAGCTTTTTCATTCGCCGAAAACCCCTCCGTTGATTGCAGCAATCGTCTCACCGAGGTGCTTCACGGGAAAGTATATAGAACCTCCAGACTTCTTAGGGCCTGCATAAAAATGACTTATGATGTGGAAATTACAACCCCTTCAACGTAGTGACTGACCAAGTGTTGTTGTTAATTATCGTAAGAAAAGACTTCTGACCGCCTCCAATGCGCGGAACGCCAAATGGATCATCCAGAGTCGTTTTTATATTTGTGCAGTTTATATATCGTTCAAAGCAAACAGTTTTTCATACTAAGCGGAAAAGCGTGAAAGTGTAGCGCATTTGTTACCGATTATCCTGTGAAATATTTGAAATTAACGCTAACTTCTACGCTTCCCAATCGCTCCATTCTTTTCTCTTTTTTTCAGCCGAAGGGTTATAAGTATATGTATTGAAAGTGGAGTGCGGCGTGTTTTGCGCACTCTTCATTGATTGGAAATAGGCCAACCCTATTCCACAGCAGCGAAATGTGTATGATTGGTTTAGATTTAAAAGAAACCCAGGGGTAATTCGTCCGAGCTTAATCAAATTAATTACCCCACCTATCCTTTCTTTTTTTTCTTCTTTTTGAAGTGTGTTTAAAATGTTTTTGATTTGAGTTTCAACCTTTCATAAATTTGGAGAGATCAAAATGTCACCAGAGCACTATAGGTACGCGGGATATCTGTCTTTTTTAGGGCGTATTTGTGTTTATTACCTTAAAGCAAAATAAATGAATTCGCCTGGCGTTTTCATAAAAATATATTTTATGAACGTAATTATTCGAAGTATAAAAAGTGACTTGGTACGCGCTGAGAAGCTGACCATTACTAAAACCATGCTTACCTGCCGGTTCTACGAGTATCCACAGTGAAACCGACGGATCTGACCAAACGTTTCAACAGTACTTTAAAAAAAAATCTGTTTCTGAGAGATTTTTTGACGCCCCGTGAGCTCTAAGGAAGCTGGGCATGAAGAACTCTTTCACATCAAAAGAAAGACGTTTACAACTCCCTATAATGTCGAATTGGAGCACAGCTCTTGAAGAGGAGCAGGAGGATGGTACGGAAGGGAGGGTGTGCCACTCCTCTCCTCCTCCCTTTACATTTAGCGGGAAATTTTCGCTACATTTCCCGGTAAATTCAGCGGAAAAAACTTTCCCGTTAAATTTAGCGGGGAAATTTTTCTGATAAATCTAGTGGGGAATTTTTGCCGATAAATTTATCAGGGTAATTTTTCCGAGTTATTTGGAAGGGAATTTTGTCCGCTAAATTTAGCGGGGAATTATTGCCGCTAATTTTAGTGGGGAAATTTTCCCGCTAAATCTAGCGGAAACTTTTTTGCCGCTAAATTTAGCGGAAAGAATTCCCTCATCCTCCACCTCCTTTCTCGTGACGTCACGCGTGACGTCACAAGTGACGTCATTTTGGGAAACGTTCCATAATGCAACTTGCGGTTACACCGACGCCGACGGCGACGCCGCTCAAGCCGGAAACGGGCGCCTGAAAGCTACGCTCTAAATAACCCCTTGTAGGTTTCTCACAAACAACCCTTTTAGGGGGTGCTTAAAGAAACTTTTTAGGGCGCAAAATATAGACAAGCCGACGAACCCCTGAAGGTTCTTTTACGACCAGATTTTTTTTTCTTTTCTTTATAGTGTAGAGGCACACTGATTGCAGCCATCGCGATTTGCGAAATAGATAATAGAAAACACTTAAAAGGGCACAAATATGGATATTTATATCGTCATCTTATGGCGCAAACTCAACTTACGCGTACTATGCCTCCCCGGAAACCCTGAAAAGTACAATCTAGCATGGCTTTTTTTTTATTTCATAAAAAGCATGATTAAATTTTGGGTTACGCCTCTTTTTTAATATATCTTTCAGAAAAGGGAACATTGCGCTAAGTCAGTTCGCGTTTTTAGTAGAGCAAAATGGCACTCATGATTGCAATTTAAGGTTTTCTACGATGCTTGGGGAGCGTAGGTTTGGATTTGTTGTGTCGCTTCTCGTTGCCATGGTGACGCGTAGTAGCATCTCGACATCAGCAATCGTAAGCGGTCGTAAAGCAGTCGGCTGCACTAAAAAGGCAGATGCCTGAACCAGTTACCCTTACTATAGGTCTGATTGGTGTCATGTAGGTTAAGTCTTTAATTTTTCTTCGCTCCTCTGAAGGGAACTACATTTTTAATTGTTTTATATTTTTGTTAAATGAGTTCCGAGTCCGTGAAGCTCCGAGGCATGAGCAAGACCGTTTTGGTTTCAGCATATACCATCTTCCCTACAGGTAATCCTTTTCTCATAGACAGGACGCAGATTCAGTCTTTTGTTCTGAATTTTGGCTCATCTGGTATTTCCGGTAACGTGCGCATACTGCCCCTAAGGTCTGGCACCAATGTTTAGTATTATGGAGTACCTGGCCTTGCACAGCCAGTGCTAACATCTCCATCAAAACTCGTTTATTAAAGAAGATGCCTTAATAAAATTCTGCGGCAGTCAAAAGCACGCTGTGCATGGCCTTTGGGGAGTTCATGTTTCTCCACGAATGCCCAAGTACGATCCTTCGATCCGCTCATGGGATCAAGCGGCCGAGGCTCAGGTGTACAGACAAGCCTATAGCACGTAAAATGAGTAGAAACATTGATGACCTAGGTTGGATACGAATACATATTTGAATAAAGTTTCAACTAAACTTAAATCAAGTTTAAATCAAATATGAATCAAGTTTCAATCGAGTTTGCTGGGGTGGATTCAATCAGGAACAAGGTATGTGAATGGGAGCTGTATCTGGATTTAAAAATATCACCATCGGCAGTTTAATAAGTCTACTTAGTTAGCCCTTAGTTAACTTATATCCATTCAATAAATCATTATCATAATTAATTTATGCCTTTCTCTTTCCCTCAACACAAACGGGGTCCTTCACTATCTGCGCTGATCTAAAGGGGGTCTGCGAAACATCAATGGTTGAGAACCACTGCTTTGCGGCATGTCCAAGCAGAGACTGTTTTCTAGGGGTTCACCAGTGATTATCTTTCCGTGTCACTCGAAAAGATAGCTCCGACCCTGATTTCAGAGCCGCAAGCTTACTGAGAGTTCGAATCCTCATTGACATTGATAGCCCGCCAGACAACAAGACATCTTAACTCCAACCACGTGCATATAATCTCATCTCCTCCTTTTCACATTCCGGCCGCCAGGCCGAGCCCGTTTTCGCTGCACTCTTCAGTACCTCAGTACCCGCTCCTCTTCTTCACGTCTTTTGCATCGCGAAATATGTAGATTACTTGGACATTATAACTTACGTCAATTAGTTCAGTTACCATGAAGTTGCAATGCTCCTCGCAATTCAAGAGCACGAAGAACTCAAGGACTTACACGCACCCTCGGAAGAGGCAGAACCCATGCAAACTTCTAATTAAAACACGCCCCTCACGCACTCGACTCCTGGATAAATCTGAACTATTCTCGATCCTTCAGATACGTCCGGAGAGCACACGAGTGTGTTGTAAGGGCGATGCATTCGAAACTCCCTCAAGCTCCTCGTAAGTTCGTAAGCAATCATAACGAATTATAATGCGGTGGATGCATAATGCCCGCACGACGCATTCTAGGCTCCCCGGATTGGTCTGAAAATGATTGAGCCAAGTTTAAATTTTTTTATTGAAAATATGACGTTGTAATACCCTCACAATAGAGAGTTTTAGAATAGGGGCCCCCAAAGCTTGGGGGCCCCAAAGAAATAGGGGCTCACCACTGCGCATGCGCAGAACCCAAAATCTGTTTGGGGCTTTGGGTTGGCGCTTGGGGTCGGGTTGCGTCGGCAAACATGGCGGCGCCCTTTCTGCTCGCTTCGGAGCAAATTCGTCATGGTCGCTGCAGTATTAGCCCATTTAAATGCCAGTGAATAGTGCTACCGGCTTTCGCTTTGCTTGATCTGGCTCAAACCACAAAGAATGAGCAGTGGGCTCGCCCCATTTTAAAGATCGTCCCCGATTTTGGCCGTTTCTAAGCCTAAACATACGCGGTAACCGTTGACATGGCAACGTATTGCTACTCGGTGGCACGATACCTGCATCTTGAAAACAAGGCTTCAAAGTCGCTCCAGCTCAGATCTAAATAGTGCAACTGCCCGCAGAGTATGCGCGCTCGCGTTCGTCTCAGTCTCGGCATAGTTGAAGGCCAAAATCTTCGGCTGCATATGGTCAAAGCGCACTCCCAAAAATATCGAGAACGAGCCATACCTAAAACAGCGCGCAAGCAAAGGAGGAAGAAAATAGAACACAGGAAAGAGCGCTGACTCCCAACTTATGTATTGTGAAAGAAAGAGAAAGAGGAAGCTTCAGTCATGAAGCCCACGCGCACAAACAAGGTATAAAGAAGAAAGAATAAAAACATATAAATTACTAAGTTGCAGTAGAAAAGGAGAAAACTGGCATTATAAGGTCACGAAGAAAAAAAATATGAGAAAAAAGAAGAAAGAAAAACAACAACGTGGGCTTCATATCTGAAGCTTCCTCTTTCTCTTTCTTTCACAATACATAAGTTGGGAGTCAGCGCCCCTTCCTGTGTTTTGTTATCTTCCTCCTGTACTTGTGCGCTGTTTTAGGTATGTCTTCTATGTACAAGCTAGCTCAACTCTCAATGTTACTACGAGAACAAGCGCGAACTTAGAGCGCTACGGATTGGATTGTTTCGGCTACACCCGAAATGGGATGGCCGAACGAGTCGAGGCCGATCCAAGGCCTCGACTCGTTCGAGGCCTTGGATGGAGGAAGAGAAGGCTTCCGCGCGTTCGCTTCTCGATCGACGATGACATTTATGTGCTACGCGAAATGTATGCCACTAACTCATTCCATTCCAGGAGATGGACTTGAATGGCCGAAAGGGTCCCCGAAGCATTCGGAAGAAATTTCCCCACGCGGGCCATCCGCGACCGGGTCGACCTGCTGCTGGCAGAGTTTAACACGAATGACAGATTTCCCGGTTACTTTTCGTAACTTAACGTGAAAAAAAAAAGAAAGAAACGGGTCTGTGTGAACGAGCCTTTAGCCGCGGAGTAGCAATACGTCACCATGTCAACAGTTACGACGTATGTTTAGGCTTAGGAACGGCCAGAATCAGGTACGATCTTTAAAATGGGGCGATCCCACCGCTCATTCTTTGTGACTTGAGCGAGATTAAGCAAAGCGAAAGCCGGTTGCACTATTCATTGGCAATGAAATTGGCTAATACTGCAGCGACCATGACGAATTTGTACCGAAGCGAGTGAAAAGGGCGCCGCCATGTTTGCCTATATACAACCCGGCCCCAAGCAATTGGGGGCCCCACGTTATTTCTCGAATTTCACGTTGGGGGCGCGAGCCAACCCAAAACCCCAAACGGAGTTTGGGTTCTACGCATGCGCAGTGCTGAGCCCCTAGTTCTTTGGGGCCCCAAAGCTTTGGGACCCCCGATTATAAAACTCTCTATAACTGTCATGCTGCTTCAGCTACAGGATGAGCTAACAGCAAGCTACACCTACCAGCGTCGTGCCTGTGACCGGGGAATGGCCCGTCCAGTTCTCAGATAGTTCCATTGGCTCACATGATAGCCTGGTATTTGAGGGCGTGCACTCTCTTGTTGACCAGAGAAGTAAATCTTTTGATTCAGAGACGGTCGGCAGATGGGCCTTGCTGTGCCGTTCCAACTGGTGTTACCCTCCCTATTACTTGAGCCGCAAGCCACAATAAAGTGTCGTTTCGGCGGAAATGTTTTGCGTTTTAATAATTTTTCACTGTTAAGAAGTTCGTTCGTTGTCCGTAATGGCGTTGCATGCGAAAAAGGCGAGCGTGCCGCGTTGCGTCGTCACAAACCCTATTCTATAAGCACGCTGCGTGAGGTGTCGTTGCGTTGGGTACCCCAAAGCTTTGGGTTACCCAAAGCGTTGGGGCCCCCTATTCTAAAACTCTCTAATATATCACTGGCGCCTATTTTTGGATGGGCAATCCTAATAATAAGTCGCACGCTCACTCGTTGCCGCGGGCAAATAAAAAAAAAAAAAAAAAACGCGAGAATTTGAAATTTTAGTTAGATTGCTTTGGTATGGGGATTTCCCATACGGGAGAACATCCATTCTAAATTAACTACACCGCTATTGCGGGGTCATTTAGACGTTTGCGAACATGGCGTCCCGACTGGTGCCCCATACGTGCAAACACGTGGAGCATGCGTGTGAACGTAGCTTGGGCAGGCTCGAAGTTGCTAGTGCTTGCTCACACGAGCGGAAAAACGGCGGCGGCCATGTTTCCGCTCTCTTTGAAGATTTGTTTGTCCTTTGTCCTCTTTGTCGGATGCTTTGTTTGCAGTCATCTATAAAACTATATTTGTTATTTGTCTTTTCTTTTCTTCAAAGCTATATTTAGGTCTTTCGATAACCTAGCATTCCGATCTCACCAATTCCAAGACCTGACCTCTACCGTGTTGTACTTGCGAACACCACATTCCGCAGCGAAAGAAGCTCTGGCCATTGTTTCGAGCGCTCGCGCACAAATAAAGATAGGAACGAAGAAGAAAACCTACACAACGCGGAAGAAGCTCGTTCCTGTACAGACACGGTCGCCCCACCAACATGACTCAAAACCACGCATCTAGACATCGAGCTCTGGAATGGACAACTGAGTCACACGCGCGAACCGCCGCAAGGGGGTGGAGCGATTAGCTTCGGATTCCTGATATCAGATAACATCTCCGACCGGGCTTTCCGCTTTCTCCCTCGCTGGTGGTACAGAACTGATCGACTGCTGGAGTAGATAGAGTTATCATCGGTTTTATCTGTCAAGCTTCTCTTTCGGCGTAGCGATGACCTCCAGTACCGACCCGCCAGCCCGCCCTCCGCCGACGCCAACATAGACTGTCCCGTCGTCAAACTTGAAAACAAAGCAAACGCAGTGTGCCTAGATTAGAGAGTGTTTCCAACTGGTCCATTGGAATCACGTGGTTGATAGCCGCGTGTGTAATATGAGCTGCGAGAATGTAGTGAAAGCGTCCCGTCGATTGTTTGCAAGTGCCTCAGCTTTGCTCCGTTCGCTATCCTTCTCGTCATGTTACAGCACATGCATTCGCACATCCAATGTACGTGAGAAGCAGCCGCCATTAGACTGCAAAAGTTTTCCATGGTGTGAGTTGCTTCGTCTCTTAAATTTATAGGCTCTCTGAGAGCACGTAGCGTCACAAGGCTGCTCGAGACTGACTTGGATGGAACGAGGATTGTTTCTTCTTGTCCGCATGACAATTCGCCGCCGCATTGCACAGTAACTCTCGAATCACGTGTGAGGGTTGTTTCGGGAGTGGGGCTGGAACGGCGGAGCCGAATTCACCTAAAACAAGCTCTTCCCTGGAATAATAGGTGAGTTATTTTTTTTTCTTCTATCTTTTGATAGCTATTAGCTTTGTTTCACTTGACAACAGAACGACCACTTTCGCGCTTTTTTCGCGTTCAGCTAGCGGTGAGATTTTGAGCTCCAAAGATGGCAAGGTTCTTATTAACCTGCGTTCCGGTTGTTTATTTAGTTTCTTTACTTTCTAGTAACAAATTGTGATCAGACCAGTGTTGGGGTACATATAAAAAGTACTTCAAGAGAAGTACAAATAAAAAGAACGGTTATGTGCTTCAAGTAAAGTAGTAAGCACACTGAGTGCAATGCACTTGAAGTACTATAAATACAGGGTGTCACAAAAATAATGTATATGGTTTCTTTCACCGCAAAAACAAACTAGGCATCGCCGAACGCTCATTTTCCGCCCAAAGGTAGCGCTAGAGGTCACAAGCAGATGCCAAAGTTTCAGCCCGATTTGATAACTTAATTAAAAATTATAAGTGATTTTCTGAAAATTTCAATGGGAAAATGGAGCGCAATTTTTCCCCGTTTTAGGTTTCTGGTGCCATAGAGCCGCCATTTTCGAAAACAACGTCGGCCGCCATTTTCCCATTGAAATTTTCAGAAAATCACTCATAGCTTTTGATTAAGTTATGGGATCGGGCTGAAACTTTGGCATCTGGTTGTGACCTCTAGCGCTACCTTTGGGCGGAGAATGAGCGTTCGGCGATGCCTAGTTTATTTTTGTGGTAAAAAAGACCCTGTCAATTTTCTTTTGTGACACCCTGTACAATGTACAAGTAAAATACAAGTACCTTTCACCACAATCTTTCGTGATGCCCTTTCATTCCCTCATGCAGTGTTTTTTCTTAGGCGCGTGTTTCCGGCTTTAACAGCGTCGCCATTGCCGTCGGCGTAACCGCGCGGTGCATTATGGGTGAATTTCCCCGCTAAATTTGGCGGAAAATTTTCCCCACTAAATTTAGCAGAAAATATTTCTCCGCTAAATTTAGCGGGAAATATTTCCCCGCTAAATTTATCGAAAAAATTTCCCCACCAAATTTAGCGGAAAATTTTCCCCGCTAAATTTAGCGGAAAATATTTCCCCGCTAAATTTAGCGGAAAACATTCCTCGCTAAATTAGGCGGGAAAATTTCCCCGCTAAATTTAGCGGAAAAAAATCCCCCACTAAATTTAGGTCACGTGACCCCCTAAAATTACGTGACCCCCCCCCCCCCCCCCCCCCCCGAGGGGTCACGTGACCCCTCTCCCCTGAGGTCACGTGACCCCTCTCCCCTTTAGGTCACGTGACCTCAGGGAGGCACCTATCCCTCAGTTCCCTTCCATCCTCCTCCTCAAGAGCTGCGCTCTAATTCGGCGTTACAGGAAGTTGTAAACGGCTTTCATTTCTTTTAACTGTTATCTATTGTTCCAGGGGTAATCGGAGCTGTGCAATGTAAAAAAATCCCCCCTCAAAAAAAGAAAAAAATATATATATAGTGTTTTTTTTTTCTTTAGCGCGAAAGTACAATATGTAACGGTGAACGCTCCTTCTCCACCCAAATGTAGCACTATGTCTGAACCAGATGACAAGATTTCAGCACGAACCGATATCTTATTAAAAAGTTCTGTGATTTTCGAAAAATTTCAATCGGAAAGTGGGGTCCTTTTCCGCCTGTTTTCGGTTTCGGGCGCCATAGAGCACCATGTATTCGAAAGTTCCGTCGGCCACCATTTTCCATTAAATTTTCAAAAAATCGCCTATAAATAACTTCTGAATAAGATAACGTTTAGAACCGAAACGTTGGCTTCTGGTTCGGACGTAGGGCTTCATCTGGGGGAAAATGAACGTTCGGCGATACGTAGTTCATTTTTGGAAGAGAAAAAATTGGGGCGGGGTCGAGTTTTGTATCTTAAGCGGCACTGACACGCCAAAGGTCATATTTGTTTTTGTTGCCAAAAAACGGTGCAAGCTATAATCATAACCACATGCAAAAAAAAAAAAATACCAGAACGCTAAATAAAAAAATTTGCGCGCTCGCCTTTTTATTTTTGGAAGAGGGGGAAGGAACGCCAACCAAAAATTAAAAGGAGCCCAACGTTTCGAAACCTGCTTGGTCTCTTCTTCAGGGGCGACTGTGTGCGCGAGGAGCAAGTGGTCTTCTTTTACGGCGGTGGACGTGATGTTTTCGCGATCGTAATGTGGCTGAGCCCGCTGACGTAGTCGGATGGTAAAGCGTTAAGCGACCGATTGATGTTTTGCTGTGTGGTTTAAATGTGCCATGACTCGACGAAGAGCCTCTGCCGGGAATTGGTCACAACGTCGAGGATGCGTGTGTTGTCGAAGTCAATGCGGTGGTCATTCGAGTCACTGTGTTCCGCAACCGCGCTGCGGTCATGATCGAACTTTCGCACGTCGTTTTTGTGCTGGCGAATTCTTTCTTTAAAGTTTTTGGTTTCGCCGATGTATGTGGCAGGGCAATCCGCACAAGGAATCTGGTAAATAATGCCTTGCGCTCTTTCCTTGGGGGTACGATCTTTTGGCCGGGGCATCAGGTGTCCAAGCGTTGACACTGGTTTGGGGGACATCTGGATGTCTTCTTTTGCCAGCACACGCGCGAGCGCTTCGCTGGTTTCCTGGGACGCAGACGCGCGTGGTTGAGCGGGGATGTACGATTTCTTGTGGTCTTAAGGGGTGTCCAAACAGGACACTACAAAACGCACGACTCCGACAAATCGTGAAAATTGAAGCGAGCGCGAAGCGGGCGGGTCCGCTTCAATTTTCACGATTTGTCGGAGTCGTGCGTTTTCTAGTGTCCTCTTTGGACACCCCTTTAGGCGTCGATCAGACTTACGTTGACGACGGGCGATTCGCTGAATAAAACTGCGTGTGTAGCCGTTATTTAGCAGGTCGGACAAAAAAAAAACACTATGTTCCAGAAAGCACGCAGTGCAGTATACTGAATGTGTCACTGATGTCGCGTACGAGATACAGCTAAGTTGTGGAAAAGCTTACATCGGGGCAAACTGCAACCAGTAGTTTTAACGATAGAGCACGAGAGCAAAATCTATGTGTGTGAGTGTGCGTGTGTGTGTGTGGGGGGGGGGGGGGGGGGGGTGAGGCATCTTGCAGATTGCTGTAAGAGATGTGCTGGCTGTAAACCTGTCTTAAAGGCCACAAAGTTTTTTTGTTTTGTTTTTAAACAAAAGATAAAAGTGACAGATTATAAAAAAACCTATATATATATAGATATATATATATATATAAAACAGATGACAAATGCGTTAGCGCGCCTTCTCTTTATCTGCTTCAAAAAGAGTGGCTCTTCTGGATGCTGCTTGTAAGAGTGGCGATTGGTTGTGATGCAAGTCGGGCAAATGGGTACGTGTATATAAGTGACGGTGGTTTCTAATAAAATCAGTTGAAAGTTAGCGCTTCTCCTGGTTTTGTTCGCGCTTTTAAGCTTTTAACTTTTTTTTTACATGTTGCATTCGTTAAATCTAAACTTCAAAAATGCCTTTATCGTCTGATTGAGTAATACTAAAACGATTTTACGACTTTTGTTAAGTGCTAAACTCTTGACATGCTTAACACACGAAACGTGCAATAGCTTTTTTTTTTTTCCTTTCATCAGATGTTTTAGGATAAATTCGTGAAAAATCGAGAAGCACCCACGCTGCGATGCGATGCGGTACATCGCATCGTATCGTATCGTATCATATAAACCTTCGCATCGCTTATCACCCGGGCGAAAAATGCTGAGTCACTCAGCTGCGGACGCATGCGCAGGGTCTGGCACGGTGGGGTCCGGTCTACCGCACAGCAGAGCAACAGCGCATGCTCAGAAGACGTTCCTCAGCCCAGCAGACAAAGACGGCAGCGCGCAGAAGGCGATTTTTGAGGAGGTCTATACGATGCGATGTACCGCGACAGATGCTCCAATCATTAGCCAGCCCAGCGCCTCACGCGTCACGCGTGCCACAAGATTTCACGCTCCGCACGTCGCTCCGCCCCACCTGTAAGGTCGCCTGACACGCGCTCCCGCGCTAGGGATCAGAACCACCAGAAGAAGTTTTCGTAGATGGTTTTCGCCGTTCCACAACGCTCCCCGCAACCCGCTACGATAACCGGAACTCTACATCCAAGGTCATCGGCGCGCAGGCGCAGTAGCGGCTTCTTCGTTGCGGAGGGCTTTGAGGAGGGGGAAAAGTGGTCCACGAAAAACTCCCTTATATTTTCACACCCCAAGTTTACTGGAATGGTTTATGGGGCAGTCTCCAGAAAAAGAAAGAAAAAAAAAAAAAAGCGTCGTAAAGACCAGGGGTCTTTACCTGCTGAGGCTGAGGCTGAGGTTTCGGTCGCCCCAGTCTCAAACGATTCTTCTTGAGATTTCGTTAGATAAGACCAACTGATTTCATTTCGAAAAACACTCCGCGGTTTCACCGTATTCCGTTCCGCACCAAGTCGGAGCGCAGCCGACGTCACAATCTGATAGGACCAATCAAGCAGAGGGAAAGGTGTATCGTCACGGTGCTATCGTCGTCTCGGTGCCGTCGCCACCACCGGCTAATTACCAATCACACACAATTAATGCGCTTTTCTCTGTGCGCGACTGGTTTAGCCGATGCTACCAAGCGCATAATGACGATGCACTTTTCACATTGCTTGATTGGCGGCCCCGTGTATTCACGGCATCGGCTGACCGTGGTTCACTCTCTTGCATTTGACTACAACCAACTGCGCACACCGTTTTTTTTTTTCTTATTTTTTTTAAAGCTTTGTGGCGATTGTTTAGGACCGGCTGCGCTGTTATAAGAGGCCGGTTTTTAGGCCTCTCTGGTCGCAATAATCGAAGCTGCATTTGATTTTTCGTAGCAGGTTCTGTGTAGCAGGCAAAATGTTGGTCTGGAGCAGGAACTGATGCTTTTGGAACAGATTCCAACATCTCTTAGCACATCACCTGAGAAGGAACAAAAAAAAGTCACTACACCTCTAAATGAGTTCATTTTATGATAGTGATTGAGGATTTCTCTGTGATACTTAAAGATATTACTCATTATTGTTTGTGATAAGCATAAAAAGAGCATAAAAGGAACGCGAACTTCTTAAATCAGGCTCTAGTCAGAGTGAGTTTCATTTACAATCAACATTAAAAAATGACTAAAAAGCGAATCATAGCGCAATGCTTCAATGGAATAACTCCTATCTCCCCTCTCCATTTTACACTCGATAGTTTTTTAAGCTTGTAAATATAATTTCTGTAAAATTCCACCAAGAACCAGAATTTCCGTCTCGCTTGCACCTTCGCATTAATTTCACTATCATCATATCCGCTAACATGTATACCAATAAAGATGTCTTACCAACCTACCTACCAAAACTCAAGGCTCTAATATCATAAAATTGCAAATACCACCACCCAAAAATATTAAAAGCCTACACTCTTACTTTAAAGGTGACACTGCTCTTGAACGACGGAGGAACCAGAGTTGCCTCAAAGTTCGCTGCTCTTTCGATCGACAGCTGCACAGGAACTCCTGTGACTACCGTATTTATCCATATATATATATACACCGGTGTTTTCTTCTCTCTCCCTCTCTCTCTCTCTCTCTTATTTTCTTTTTAATTAGAGATTAATTTACAATTAGGACAAGGAGTAATAATCCTCAGCATAATCTGCTTGCCTACCGCGATAATCCAGGCGCTCCCCCAGCTCAGTCGCTGCTCCTAGCACTCCGGTGCAAAACGGTGAAGCTCGACGCCTGCATGCTGGTGACAGGCGGTGTAGGTTCACGCGAGCGGCGCAAGTGCCACGGTACTCTGCAGCCACGGAACGAGGGCATGTGACAGACATAATGATCACAAGGATCTTATCAGGAGTGGAATATTCTGGCTCTGTTTGATCACAGTAGCCGCAATCGGTAATCCTACTATTTTGCAAAGTTTTCTCGGGACTCTGACATGTTGATTTGCGGCATCAAAGCGCAACATCATGGCGTTCCTCACCTCATTGTACATGTTCTTTTATCGGTTAAGCCAATCAAATGCCGCGAATATCCCGTGACTTGCGCTTTTAGTGTGTTGTTGGTAGTATGTGCTTTGACCTTCGACTGTGCTTTGCCCTAAGACGAAACTGTACGGTGAGTAGAGACGCTGTGAAATTCGTATTTATACAATTTTTCTCTCTTACTTCTTTATATACTAAAGTCCACCAATAATAAAATATTGATTTTTTTTTGCTTTGAGCCCTTTTTGGCGCAGGTGTGGCGCAATTCTTAGCAAAAACGGCAGGGCGCAAGATGTGCAGACCTTCGTTCATGGCGCAATGTGGTTCAAATGGCGCAGCACTTCCATCGCTGTGGTTGCAAGCAGTCGCAAGTGTGTTAACCAACCTTTACTGTGAAATGAAGTATAGACTCCAAAAACGAATGACAAATTTGGCAACTCCTAATTCGACGTTCCAGAGGCGAATCAAGAGGGACTGCAGGAAGTGCTTGAACCGGCAAAGATATGAAACGGCGCAGAACCGGCCCACACCCGAGGACGTGAGCGGCTGAGCAGTCCTTGACCTATCCGAGGTGTCTCAAGACTCAAGGGGGCGAAGTGGACCATGTCGGTGAGGAAGGACCTCCCCGAACTTCGGCTGGTCGTGGTGGGCGACAGTCAGTGCGGCAAGACAGGACTCCTGAGCACCTTCGTCTACGACCTGTTTCCCACGACCCACGTGGCCACCACCTTGGATAACCATGCCACGCTCATCAAGTGGCGCCGGCAAATGGTACGCAGTGAGAAGTGTCATTGGTATGACAAACACATCCCGGATAGCAAAGCACTAGTACGAAAACAACGGAGGGACATAGAAGATAATGCGAAGAGCAAGTCGTCTGCTTCTTTCGCAGGAGTGGCGGTAACGTCAAACTCTGAACTCCGATTGACTTTCATTGAAAGGATTTGGGTAGACCTCATGCTAGATGTCTTAAGGTCTATCCACTTTTTTTTTTTTTAATTGGGTAATAAGAGCTCGGCGTTCTGACATCATTGCAACCCCTGTGCAAGAAGCAGACAAACTTGCGCTCCGCATACAGACAACACAGGGCCCAGGCTTTCAACTTGCATAGAAAGAAGGACATAGAGAACAATACACAGTTACGCGGCGCTGCACATATTAGATGCGAACGCTGCGTCGGCGTTCGGCTGGGATTCTTGTACTCACTAAATGAACGCGCGAGTTCCAGCTGAATGTTGACGTAGGCCTCGGTAGGTGACGTAGAGGGTTCAGCCCTTTCTGCCTATAGTAGTCACTCTGTCAGCTTAAATAGAGGGTGTGGACTATTATGTTCACACTTCTTGCTTTCTGACTCGTTCTTTGGTCTCTTTATGGGCTAACACCCCGATCTGATTGGCTGCAGGGAGAGATAATAAGACGTTCGGGAATCGTCCCGTCTCGCGTTTTCTCAGCCGTTGGTGAACATGGGTGGTGTTTTCGCTGACTCGGAATCGTTTGCCTGGGTGATAAGTGCTGCAGCCGGGAAGGTGTAGACATGGCCTCCATATCCGACATCACTGTGCCTTCAAAGAAGAAAACATTGCGCCTAGGGTGACCACCCGTCCCGCGACTCGCGGGACTGTCCCGCATTGAGGGCTTGTGTCCCGCGTCCCGCAAGCGAATTCTCAAATCTTCAAAATGTCCCGCATTTCATACTGTCGTAAAATTCACTCTGCATGCAACTTATGGCGCTGCCGAACAATAAGGCACGAGGAAGCCCGGAGGTCGTTGGTAATCGTGTGAATCGCACTAGTACACCATTTTCTATCCAAGCATTCCGGGAAGCGACCGTCGTTCTTGAAGGAGAACCGACGCGCATGCTCCGTTGGGCCTCTCCCCTTGGTGGCAAATTATTCTAAGAAAGATTGCTCGCCAAAAGTTTCAATATAAAATATTGTAATTACTTTCAAATCGCTCTGTCAATGCAAAAGGGTTGCTGTGGATCTTTGTTTTAGTGAACACAGCCACATAAGGCAGAGCCTGCAACTCGGAACGGTCGAAAAAGAACATCATGTTAACACTTTGCGTTTGACTATGTTGATAAAAGTAAGCGTTGACAGGAAACAATAACCCGTAAGAGATTTAATGTTTCTTATTTTCATTTGATGCATTGAGTTCTGCTACGGTCGATATTTATGTTTTCAACTTCGACACATTTAATAACACATTTACCATAAGAGATATATTAATTTTAGTAAAAATTAATTGAGCTTAATTGCTGCAATACAATTAGCAGGTGTATAAACAGCACATGATGTTAAATGTATTAACAATCCTCGGTTCGTGGTGTGTGTGTTAATAAACTTCCTCTACTCGACCCCCCCCCCCCCCCCCCCCCCCCCCGTGTCCCGCATTTCGCTAGCAGGAAGGTGGTCACCCTAATTGCGCCGCGCGTCGTTCAGGTCCGGCTTTCGCTGTGGGACACTGCCGGGAGCAGCGAGTACGACTCCCTGCGGCCGCTGGCCTACCCGCAGGCCAGCGCCGTGCTCGTCTGCTTCGCGCTGGACGACCGGGACAGCCTGATCAACGTGGAGCAGAAGTGGGTGCCCGAGGTTCGACGGCGCCTGCCCCGTGTGCCCATCGTCCTCGTTGGAAACAAGCGGGTGAGCGCGAAAATACAGAATTGCTTAAAAAAAATAGATGGTCTCCATAGCCACCAAGTAGCCTCGGGACTAAGTCGATAGCCACGTACGCCACTACACACCGGCGAGCACCTCCGAAGTCACGCCGCTGCGGTGGTGTTGCTGTTGGCATGGCACATGTGCAGAAGCTTCACACCACGTGTATCAGGTTTCTGCGCACGTACAATGCCCACACCTCGTGTGGACAAAGGCGGAGCACTATGTTCTTCCATAGACCGACACGTCGCTCTGACGTCAGGTCGCTACAGTGACGTTGCTGTCGGCTTGAGTGAAAACAGAGTGTAGGCCCGTCGTCACTGATAGCCTAAGAAACGCAGGGCGTGACTTCCCATAAGGCTCGCCGTAGGACTGGTGGGAAGGGTGGTGGTCACGTGTCAAACGCGATCCAATCGAAAAGTGGAGGGACAGGCAGCCGTAGAGAGAGGAGTGGGCTTCGAGGAAATTTCACTTCCCCTGCCCAGACAATAGATTGCGCTACCCTCGGTATAGAGGGGCCTTAGGTGAGTCCATCCCCCAGCCCCAGCGTTTGTTCTGCTGAAGTAAAAAGTCTAGAGGGCTTTGCAGGAGCAGCCAGGCGCTGCCATGTTTCTCTTAACCTGCAACAAAGCATATGCGCGATAATAGCTATCGTCGTCACTTCTCTGCGAACCATGGCGAAAAGCTACTGGGTTTTCCAGTTTCCTTGATTCGATATCTATCGCACGTTCCAACGGCACGCAGGACCTGCGAGAGCACCGGGCACCCTCGTACCAGCTCAACCCGTGCCGCGGGCCTCTCATCACAACACTGCAAGGCAAGATGATTGCCGAACACATCAGGGCCTCCGCCTACGTCGAGTGCTCTGCCATCATGCAGCAAGGTCTGGACCAAGTCTTGGAGGCTGCCGTCACAGCCGCCATCGGAACCACCGAGCAGGTAAGAGAAGCGAAGATGTTCACCTCTAAAGCAACAGCCTAAAGTAAAAAAAATATATATGTTGATGCCCCTGTTTTAAGTTTTACTCAGATAATCATGCAATGCTGTGGATAAAGACCTTGCACGCAATTCAGTGAGCTTACTTTACGGATTTCCATTAGAATAACTACTTAAAAAACTTATACAATTAGTTATTTGAATACTTGTGCAGATAGACATTAATGCTCGGCATATTTCAGATTACTACTGCATTTTCTGGAATATAGCTCATCTCCTTCAGTAGAAACAAAGAACTCTCCAAGAATAAGAAAAGATGCACTTGGATATAGGTCGATAGAAGGGAAAAAAATATTAGTGCAAAAATCTATTTCACGGCATTCCTAGCTAAAGGTCGTTCATTTACCGCAGTAGCTACACCATCGTCGGAACTTCTAGGACGGTCAGTCACTTGGCTCCACGCCGTGGCACTCGCGTTGCGCTGCTCGCGTCAAGCTTCCCCGCTTTGCACCAGCGCTCTCGCCTCAAGCTTCCCCGCTACGCACCCGTGTGTGCGGAGAAGCACACCGCGGCGCACTCCAGTTTTGCTCACTATTCTAAGACTACCTTGTTTGGATGTGATCATAAGTTAACCCCTTAGATTAAGTAAGTGCCAAAAAAGAGAATGTCGGTATATCTTTGCATAAATGTGGTAGATAATCTGGACCCTATTTCGAGACACATACACGACAGCGAGACTCGAAAAAAGTGGTCATCATCCTTATTTTTTTTTGCAGGGACCAAAAAAGTCGTCGTCATCAAAGTGCCCCTGCTGTTCCATCTTGTAAATACTCAAATGCCACAGGAAATAATAAAGCAAGAAGTTTGTTTTATATGCACAATTTTTTATAAAATAAAAAGATTTACACGAAAAGAAGAAAAAAAAAAAAAAAAAAAAAAAAAAACCCCTCAGAATGCAAAGTTTTAATTTTAGAGATTTATTTTCTTTGCAGGCACCAAAAAAGTCATCGTCGTCAAAGTGCTCCTGCTCTTCCATCTTGGAAATACTCAAATTCAAAAGGAAATAATGAAGCAAGAAATTTCAATTCTGTATGTACAATGTTTTATAAAATAAAGAGGATTAGACGAAAAACAAAAAACAAAAAAAAACTCGGAATGCAAAGTCTCGATTTTAGAGATTGGTACCACATAATACCGAATGCAATACGTCGCGAAAAAGCACCACATACACTCTTTTTCATAAACAGCCTTTAGAGTAACAATACTCCATTTTACACATAATATATAATGCTGCCAAAGCTGCTGGTGTGGGCATGGGGTTGGATCTCATTGATCATTTGCACATGCTCTCGCGCAGACAAAACCATAGATGAAAATAGCTTTGACAGCGTTGTATATTAAGTATGAAATGGAGTATAGTACGCAATTACTAGAAGTGTAACAAAGAAAACAACTCCCCCAAGTTCTGAAACCAACATGCCCTAGAAGAAAGAAATGCCACACCTTTTCTCTTCTATTTCCCGTAACACCACCTTCATTCTCACCAGAAACGAGCTTTCAATCGAAAAACGGTCCCAGAACAACCAACAAGCAGATGGCACCAAATGCAGTTCATGATGACATCCTCAACGTTCAGGCAGTCTTCAATCGGATGCAAGTGGATGTTGCATCTGAGGCACCTTTGGGGAATGTAGACACATTTTTTTTCCCATTTGTTTTCATCACCTTTGCCATTCCACTTGCATTCACTTGTTTGTTCAAAGCACTTTCTAAAGCCTTGGTTCTCACATCACGGCTCTCTAACCTTGATTCCATGCCCTGTCTGCTATGCACAGCGTGACCCCTGTCGTGACGAGTGCCATCCCAATGTAGGTGCCTGAAAACAGAAGCAGGAGGATATAACGCCATTACAAAGGAACATGGCTACAATCACTTCACTGACCCCGGAAAACTCTATGAAAAACATTCTTTACATTTGGTTATCTGTTTTAGTATCAAGGGGAAAAAGTAGACATGTCATCAGTTGTACTGAATGAAGGGTGCTCGCTATATATTGATTTAAAATTTAAGTGATGCCAAGTTTGAAGGTATAAAATGGCCACCGAGGGGATTGCTACGGAGATGAACAAATGGTTTCAGCTTTGTTATGCATTTGATTGCAAATCGGTCTCTTTGAATTCAATGGAACTGGAGGCAACTTGGAGATTTCCAACATACATACATCTGGACATTCCATAACTCTGATCGTTCTGATAAAAATGAACCAAAAATGATTAGGCTATAGGAGAGGCCATGAAAAATATCTGACTGTCGGTACCTGCCAAACGATAGTGTTGTATGCTCATTTCATTTCAGGGGCTCTAACTCCTTAACCGCTTTGGATGAGCTTAGCTCATTAAGGTGGAGCCGTCCCCAGGTTGTTCAGATTGCTCGTCTGCTTTCCCCCATTCACGCACTCAACTGTTTTGGACGAACGAGGCTCGCTCATGGTTGAGTTTGCGGCTGTTCCAACAAACGGGAGCAATGAATTTTTTTTTTATTTTTGCTCCCATCCTGTTTGTTGCTAAAAATTTGATTTTCAAGGCAATAAATGTAATTTTGAAGACAACAATTAAGCAGTTGAGGGTCAGAAATTCCCATAAATTAAAAACGGTTAAGGGGCTAATGTTCCCACCTTGGTGAACCTTGACACACCCTAATGCCATTGCTATCTGAAACTGCAACCAACCAATCTTAACAATTTGTTGACAGCCAGTTCACATAATTGTAGCCCCAACCATTCTACGCATGTGCTTGTCTTGGTCACCGGTTGGTATCAGCAAAACATTAAAGGGATACTACAACGAAATTTCAGCGCTCATTTTTTGGTCTATATGTGTTCAAAAGAGCAGTATCACATGGAACATACCAATATCTTGTTAAAAAAGTCTCGAAAAGGAATTTTAAAACGAATTAAACGATTAGCAAAGAGCACCTGGTGGATGTCGCTAACGCCTCGTTTGTAATGCTCGTCTAGGAACCTTGACAGCTAGTGACGGAGGTTGTCTCGCCTCCGGCCACGACGAGAGAAGGGAGGAAGGAGGAACTCCCCTCTTCCCGAGAATCCCTTTTGTGTGTCGCAGAAGTCGCTATTGTCCCCCTAGAAGATTATAAAAGATTAACCCGTCACTCAAAATTCATACAAAAGCAGCCGCTTCGGTGGCTGGAACGACTAGGCCATCCTCTCGACGTCAGCCTCGCCGTAGCTTTGCTCGTCTTGAGACGACCTACGTCACGATTGCGTTGGATGCCACGTGCTCTAAGCTGGGCCTTCTCCGAGCGCTTGCCAAAGTGGGCCATTTTTAACGAAAAATACAGCCGCCAGGATCAAAATACAAACGTGCGATTGTCATTTACGGATATTGTGGATCATATTCAACCTATTTTTGAACACGACGGAAATATTTCAAATTTCGTTGAAGTATCCCTTTAAAGCACTGCAAGAAAGAATTTTTCATATATCCGCATAGAAATTGGTGACCATTGGGCCAGTGGGGCTAATGGGCTGGTATCCAGTCTGCATAAATGCGCCGATTCAGGGTGCGTTTAGCTGTTTACAAAGTTAGAAACTCACTTGCGTTTCCCGTAGTCTCTCCGAGAAGTCGTCCAGCCACAGTAACGAAAACGAAATTGAGGGAGTTCGTTAGTGGCACCGCTAAAGAGAGATCTGCAAAGTAAGCGTGCGCGAATTGTTTCAGCAAAATTGTTATGGGCTAGTTTCTATGTTGCTCTGAGGAAAGCGGCATTAATGAAAGTAAATACAGCCAGTGGTTTGCACGGGCACATATTAGTGATAAGCATTAGATCGCAAACTTTGCATGGCGTATGTGATGTGTATAAAGGCTAGCATATGTATGGAGGACTCTGTCAATGAAAATACAACATTTGTGGCACACCTCTCCCTCCTCATTTTATTGGTGCTATTTTCCCTGAAATGACCTTGTATGAAAGATTAGCTGCGATTTAGTGCATTGTAGAGATTTTATGAACTCTGATCCTGCAACTGTGAAACCTTTTTATTATATGTAGATGCTGTACCCTATGTGCAAATGCTTGCTGCACGGTTTGTTTAATTAAGGTGGCCTAAGCCCCTGCAGAAAATTTAACACTTATCCCCGAGGTGTTTGTTACATCAGTAGGTATGTAGCTGTAATTGGGGCTACCAATACAAGAAGATTGCATCATAATACAAACTGCGGTGACACTTTTGAAATCAGCGTGAGTTGCAGCGTAAAAAGAGGTATAGTGTGTGTGCTGTCATTCTTTCCCACTCCTTGGCTCTAGATTAAAAATGTTCCAAACAATTAGAAATCCTGTCTTGTTGGGTGCACTAACACAGTCGGTCTGGTTTGTGACACTGGGAGAATATTCCCTACTTGTCGGGAAAAAAAGGTGGACCATTCAGCACTAAGGAATCTCTTGACATGACATTTGGGGAAGTCACACTAAGCAAAAGCTTGCAAGCTTTACAGTGATATTAGCAGCAGACCACTAAAGCAAAAGTCAGTATGAACCTCCTATTCCAAGTACTCTGCAATTCCAGCTCCCTGTTCCCTCCCTCCGTCCTCTTCTTACATGGCAAAGCCAAATACTTTACCAGGAAGAATACATTCCACTCCGCTTGTCTGCGTCGACAGTGTGCCTACATTACCAAATCCTCTCCTTGCGCACCCGTTTCAACAGCACAAAGCCTGCTGTCTGCACCAAGGCCATATTGGATTTTTGCAGAGCAAGATATCTTCGCCAAGCAAAGTATATGACGAGGCTAAGAATACCAAGTTTCCAGGTAAGCATCAGCATGTGTCAAATGTAGGCAGATTTTGCCCCTTCCTCAAGCGCAGTCATTGCAAAAAACAAAAAAAACAAAAAACACGCTTACTCTTTAGGTGAAATCCTGTATATGCATGTCATCAATTCAACAATACCATATACACTATAAACTCATTATAACAGACCTTGATAGTCAAGAATATTTTGGTCTATTGTAAAAGGAGTACGCAGAATGCAAGACACTCTTACTTCAGAGGCTGACGTGAATCATGACTAGAGTCTGACCTAACTGGAGAGACTGATGCAATGTGAATGGATATCAGGAAAGTACTGGTTTACTGAAATTTCTTAACTTTGAAAGGTAGTAATTTTTAATGAGCTGTACTGATGACCGTCATCACTGCACGCTTTGGGTTCTACAAGGCGCGTGGGGCACCAAGCTTGACAACAGCTATTTACAAAATGGATGCCACCACTACCGAACCAAAGCCGCGTAACGTCTGAAACAATGAGTGCTGTCGAAGAGTTTGCTAGAATGGAATGGTGAACTAATACTTACAAACTCCCTAATATAGTTTATTATCCCCGAATGTATATTATAACCAAATCTGTAATAAGCGAAGCTGGCTCAATAGCAAAAATAGAAAGAAGAGCCAAACTTCGCAAACCAATTTATGTTATATCTAGGATTCCATGTTTTCCAAGTTTGTACACAAACTTAGCTCTGTCACGTCACGGCGCGGTGGTGGCGCGTCAGGCACACTTCCGGTCTGGGGCTGTGGGCGGAAGTCACCTTGCGGGACGTGCATTTCTCTGTTGTTTCGGAAGAAACCGGACAAAAACCTGCCTCCTTGTCAAAACCCCGCGACTGGGGCTGTACCAAAAGAGTCGGGAAAGGTTTGAAGGTCAGTTTTTATGTATTTTCCGCCTGCTCAATCCGTCTGAGAACTTTGATAGGTGCCGTAAAAAACAAAATCCAGACGCCACCAGACCACGATTGCTTGAGCGGGAAGCACTTTGAATTGAATTCATAGATCAGGGTTGGGCAGTATCGCGATACAAATGTATCGCGATAGTATTTCAGGAATACATTTCGTATCTGTATTTCTGTATCGTGATAAATTTTTTTCGCCAGTATCTGTATTTCTGTATTGAAATACATTTTGAATGTTCCTTTGTATCGCGATACAATCAGGGTGAAATGTATTTCGTTACATTTTTTTAGAAATACTCAACCCCCCCCCCCCCCTCAAAAAAAAAAAAAAAAGTCCAAACGCTTTTTTTCTTATTTTTGAGGGCACCAGGGCCAAGGAGATGCTGGGGCATTGTTACCATGCTGACCAAGGTTCCTTCCGATTTTCTAAACTATTTTTCTATGCGTCCTCTTCTCTCTTCTGAGAACTGTTGCGCAGTCAGGGACTCGAACCAGGAGGCGTGCCAGGAGTGGAGTCCGAGCATCTTATGCCGCAGGTCCTTAGGTAGGGGTTTTTTGAGTCATTGTTTGCGGGCATCCAAAGCCCGCTGCTTACCGTCTCTTCTGCCTTAACGTACTCAGTACACCCATGCGGCAAAGCTGAGTAACAGTTCGTTGCAGAACGAGCCTGGTGGTGGCTGACTTAAAATTGTAGGATAACTCGCGCAGTAAAGTTCAACAGATATTTGAATGCGTCTGCGGCTGCGCCCGTAATATTGCACGGCTCAAGGGTACGTCATCAGCCGACGTTAAAGTGGCCCGCTGCTGTGGTGATCCGAAACCCAGGAAGGAGGTCAGACGTGGCCTCGCTGTGCCGACCCAGACTTTGTACACCTGCGACTCGTCTCGAGCACGCTGTTTCTCGGAGAGCTCGCACCTCTGCCGCCAATATCAGGTCGCAATCGACGACGTCTTATTAGGAGTATGCAAGGCAAAACTTGATGACTGCAATCCATGCGTCGGTGGCGCAGGGTCAGCAGGAAGCACCTTCACAACAGGGATGCCACCGTATCGTTTTTTCAACCGTAACAGAAGATAAGACATGTGTTCCAGTATGCTTCAGGTGGTCCACTATCTCGAAAATCCTGCACAACCTTCAACGAGGTAAACTACAACGAAATTACATATTGTCCTTTCATACAGCAGCGCGTTAAATTTCATGTTCAAGGCCATACCTACAGATAAAGAATACCAGTTCATTCCACCGTGACGTCATGTGATAAATGTTGACAGGGGCGTCCTTATTTGACAAGGGCGTGGTGGCGTTTTGATGGGATTTAGGATGACAGAGAATTTATTTAGAGGTCGAAGTCTTTTCGCATCCCTCGTCAGAGACAGGATGTCAGGGAAGGGACCACGGTCAGTCCTTAATGGAACGTTTTTCTGAGCCCATTGAAGACTCCTTGCCGTCCGAAATCACTACCTTCAAGGCAAAGTGCCAAGCCTACGGAAAAGTAATTTCAGGATCAAAAATTTCCACTTCAAACTCCAAGCTTCATTTAATTTGGTCTCAAATAAATTGGAAAAATGTATTGCAGTATCAGTATTTCTGTATTTGTATTTCTGCCTTCCCTAAAATGTATTCCAGTATTTGTATTTCCAAATACTTTTTGCCTATATTTAAAATGTATTTCCGATACGTATCGCGATACACATTTACAGATATATCTCAGTATCAGTATTTTAGGTACTATTTTAAAGTATCCCAGTATTTGTATTTCCAAATACATTTTGGAGTATTTCTGCCCAACCCTGTGACATAGATAATGTAGTCATCAGATTTATTTGTTTTGTTCCAAAATGAACGCAGAAAAACTGCCAAGTTGTACGGGGACCACTTGTGGACTATGTCAGTGCATACAAGTTCAAACGATCGCCTGATCATTCGAACTGTCATCTGCTCTTTCAAACTTGTCTGCTTTTTGTCGTCAGCTCATTCAAACGACAGCAGCCTGTAGACCAAACATTGACCTGGTAATTGCGATAAAAAGTAAGTGCAGGCCTCAAAATAATTTTAAGTTTGAAGATAGATAGGGATATGTAGGCTCGGTGTATTAAAGGGATACTGAAGCGAAACTTGAAATACACCTATTATGGTCAGAAATAGGTTCAATATGATCAATGATATTCATAAATCATAATTGCGCGTTTGTATTTTGAACGGATGGCTATATTTTTCACCCTAATGGGCCCGATTGGGCGCGCGCTCAAAAATCGGCCATCGGAGAGCGCGATGCGTCTTGGGATATTGGGCGCATTCGTGACGTCACTTGTGCCAGTCGGGAAAGGCTACGGCGTGAATGTTGTGGTTACGAGCGTTGCCACTTGGTGGCGCGTCGACGATTTACGACCTGTGACAACGTGGCCGTTTGAGATGTGCAAGGGCTGCACGCACGCTGCACCACGGGACCACGGCAAGTCGGCAACCACGGCAGCACTGACAAAACCAGCTCTGAGGCCGGATTCTCAAAGCGAATTCACGACGAAAAAAGTGCGTACGACAAATTTGAGACAAAACCCGTGCTCTCGAAACGAAATTGTCGTAACCTTTGCGCAGGTTACGACAGAATCCTACGACAGCTCCGAAGCTGTCTTACGCACTTTTTACGATCAAATCAACAAGGCCGACAGCGTCGCTCAGTTACTTGGTATCGGCCACCAACGGACATTTATTTTTCTTCGTGCTCTTCTCGTGCGTCTCGACTTCAACCAGCAAGAAAAAAGGAAGGAGTACTTAAAACAGACCACGACGATCAAGAACGCAGGATCCACAAACACACGAGAAGAGCTACAACAGCCACGATTCTGCCGACCGAGCGAGCTCGGCAGAATATAGTAGGCCTAGCAGCAACATCGACTCGGCGCACCGTTGCTCCGGCGGTCCTTGGCCAAGACCGTCTGTCCATGACCGGCTGAATGGAATATGCCCGCTCGACCCTTGTGGACCCTTACTGGATGAGTAGTTTGATCCCTGAACTAAATTTCAGAGGTCAATATTTTCCCCTTGTCATCTCGATCTCCTTGTTTTCCGAGACAGCGGTGACGAACGCTGTCGTCGAAAAGGGACTCTCATTGATTCTATCTCCTTGTTTTGTGTGATATAGAGCTCAAATAAAAGCCATACGGATTACCTTGGCAACTCGGTATGTACACTCTGTTATTAGTATGCCATTTTTATTCTGACTCGACGCTACGTCAGTGTCGAGCTATAGCAGTTTGTGGGAGCTACGCGATGTCGGTCTAACCTTTCTTTGCCGAGTGTCATGTCAGTATCGAGTTGCAATCGTAAAAGATCGGTCCAGAAGTGCTTACCGAAACGCGGTCTAACAGAGCGAATCCAGCACTTCGATCAAACGCGCGTGTCCGCTCCGAGTGTGATCAGGTATTTGGCATTTGCGTGGCTCTTGCTGACACCCTCGTAGTTCAAACATATCCTTTTTAACGTCGGCTTGCAGCTCGCGACTCGCAGCAACTAATACCGGCCGTGCCAGAAGCATGCTCGGGCCGTGTCGTGCAAAGAGCCGCAACGAGAACGAGCTCACTGTGGCAAACTACGCTTTGGCTTTCTCCGCCAAGGCTTTGCAAACACGTTCAGGCCTAGGCGAATTCTGCCGGCACGCCGTATTGCCGCAGAACGGCGCTGCTATTTTGGCACAAGTGATGTCACGAGAACTTCCCCCCATCCACCAGATGAGAATTTGAAATCGTTTAATTATGTTTAAAATTAGTTCTCCTGTGTTTTACAGCGCAATATTTATATTTCCGAGGTGGTGCCTGTCCCTAGCCCATATTTATGCAACAAGATCGGCGCTAAAGTTTCGTTTCACTACCCCTTTAACAGTAGATACAAGTGTGCAATGACCTGTAGTTCTGAATGAACCTTAACGAGATAAGCGGTAAGATCCCTTTTGTCAATGGTCCGAGGTTTGAAAGAAAAATGGGGTGACATTTTCTCAGGACCATTGACCCCTGCACTGATCAAACTTAAAACACCATCTTTTTTTTTTTCTTTTTAACATCGGTACATTGAAATTCGGAGTTTTCTAATAAATCCGAATTGACAAAAGTTTTACCGGCGGGCATTTTTTTGAGTTTTCCGGATTTATCTGAAACCACGGAACTCTAGTTACAACCGAATGTCTGCTATGGCCAGATATGCTGTAACGTAATTATACCATATAAGGATATTTCTCAACATTGTGGTTACACTCCCTCCGTAGTGTTGATAGGATACTGGCTTCTAGACCTCAAATAAAGTATGGCACCCACTAAGAATGAAACCTATGGTGCCTGGAACATGTCTTCAACTGGCATCATTTAACGCCCCGTACTATCCATGCAACAAAAATGATCCTGAAGTGGCAACAAACAACACTATCAAAGTTGGTATGTAACGCGGTGAGTTGTCACAATCCTGACAGCTTGTCTCGTAAGTTACATAAAAAAATAAGACGAGTAAACGCCAGAGTCGCCGTCGTCACAGCGTCCCAGGCCATCACTGCAGAAGCCTCAGTGGACTGCCGAGCTAAGAGGAAGCCAGCCGCACAGAAACGCAGGCGCCTGCCACGCCTACCTCTACTGCCGTGCAACCACCGGGATGACAACGGGCAACAGCACGACTCCTCTGTGACATTTGAAGACGCAGTAAACACACATGCCGGCGACGCGCTACAGGCACCATTACAAAACAAAACTTTGACTAACGGAGCACTTATGATTTGGGTTTCGCATCTTCGAAGTTTATTTTTCTTTGAATGTGGGGATGTGTTTTTTTTGGAGTTTGTCTTTTCCCACAGATTCTGCATTTTCCGGGGCTCATTTACAGTGTCGCAAAGAAATGGACACATATTAGGGCTTATGGCAAAGAAAAGGGGATACGGTGGTAAAATTCCCCAACCTCAGGGGTACATATGAGTGATCGCGCTTGGGATGCTTGGGAGGCATCCTGACACGGGTAAGAGGAGGGAATGTGACAAGGGGTGTGGAAAAGCAGACTCGCAGACAGTTCCGAGTAGGCCTTGTTCCGGGTCAAGAAAAGTGACACTATAGATAAGGATTTCTTCTCGTGAAGCTTGAGTTTCCTTGCCCCTCAAGGGCAGCTCCTAATTAGGGTTTCTCGGTTTTCCCCGACTCTGAGCAAACAGGTTCGGGGACCACTTCTTGGGGTTTATCGGTGTGTGCCGAAATATGAATTCTTAGGGTGTTGTAAGGAAGTTTGAAATGTTTCTCACTGAACTGTCGATGACCTTGGTTCTCCAATGCAAGCTCCTACAATGTAACAAAACCACTGCTACAGTGGTTTCGCTACTCTCAATACGAAAAAATCAATGCAAGCTTAGGCCCGAAAACTTACCAGTCGACCCCAGGGCAAGGGCATAGATGGCAGATCCGCTCTGGTTTATGAGAAACGGAAGTATGTACTGAAATTAAAGATACAGAAAAAGCGTGAGAGAAATGCCTTCCTGCCTCGTGAATGATTTACAGAAGGCAAGAGCAACTATATTTTGATTCACCTTTCGATGGACCCCAGAGGCGCTAGGAGTCATCCAAGCCAATCCCATACCTAACAAGTGTCAGACGGCCTCTGCGAGGGGCGCAATAAAGTGTGGGACACATTGTCATGTGACACATCCAGAGAGCTGGATTGGCTGGTATGGCTCCTAGGCCTCTGCTGCAGTTCATCGGAAGACGAAACGGAGTAAAGACCATTTCTAAAAATTCAAAAAGAAAGTCTCGACTCCCTTCAGAAGTGCATGTTTTTGTCCTAAACTGGGGAATAGAGATATGCAAGCAGACAAAATAGCAAAAACTACCTGCAACACTTCACTTCCTTTCAAACAAATAGAAAAACTACTGCCCCCTTTCCATCCACTATTGTGGCAAAGGCAGTGGGATGCAGCGTCAAGCTAGATGCTCAGCTGCACCACAATCTTAGATGCTTTAATGCAGTACACAAAGAAGTGGCTGTTTCAGAGGTGCGAACCAGAAAGGGTTGAGTTCCAACGATGTAACACATTCTACGTTAAAAAGACAAGGAGTAAAGACAGATGGGAAAGTAAGAATGTAATCTCGAGCCCTTTGGGAATGAACTAGGCTAAAATAGCTGTGAGTTTTAACAGAGAAACACTGACTGCTAGAAGAATTCAATGGAAACATTTGCAATTTTGAGCTGCACAGTGTTTCGAGCTTTACGATTTTTGCCAGCTTTTACCACGACGAAAAGCAACCAATGCGCCCAGAGTTCTGGTTTGAGCGATCACACTTTCTGCGCGTATACTCGTGCGCAAAAGAGAGGGACCAGGTGGCCTATTGTCCCAGCAAGCATGTGGCTTCCCCAGTTGTGTCAGCTTAACTGCATATGAAGCATATGAATCATTCGTGGCCAAAGGCATCGCAAGTAATTGCCTTGCATGTATACTTATTTATACAGCCAGAAACTAGTCAGCCCCAGTGGGCATCTGGTGTTTCAGCAGTAGTTGAGCAACTTAGCCAGAGCGGTACAACCTCTAGCCCAAGGTCTTCAACGTGCACCACACAGTAGTGATACACGACTGCACGCCGGTACAATGCTCATCCAGATGGAAATGGCCAAGAGTGGGGATTGAACCCAGGATCCTTGGGATCTGCAGCACGAATTTTCGCTCCACTCGCTCCGAGATACGGCACAGTAGCACACTCGCCCACCGATCCCCCTGTGAGCAAGGAAAATGTAATAAAAGAATGAAATCACATACTTGTGGTTTGGTTGCCAGAAACTTGATTTCGGCGAACCACTGGTTGAGGGCGCCAGACCGCTTGATGTCTTCCATGCCTTTACTGCCTCGTCGAAGGAGAGGTGTTGAGAAGCCCCACAGCGCTGCGACGGCCACCAACCACAGGACAGACACTGTGGAGACGAAGGCATAAAAAACGAGTTGTCAAGGAACACTTGTGCTTCGAGGGAAATGAAAAGAAATTGGCAGAACATTAAATGTTGCATTACGTTATGGTGTCCTATGGCACCGAAGACGTCGCGTGACCCAGTGTCACGTAACGTGACGCCGCAACGTCACGTAACCTGACGTGAGTGGCGTCAGGTTACGTCAGGTTACGCCATGTCAGATTACCATAAGGTCACAAAGCTGGTCACGTAACAACATACGTCACCCAACCTGAAGTCACGTAACGTCACATGACCAGACGTCACGTGATACTCTGACGCCACTGTATCACGTCACGTCATGTGCCGTGGCACATGCGCGTACAGACCAATCTCTGGAGTACGAGTTTCCAGTGTAAAGAGTTCCATGCTTTAAAAAGCAGAATAGATCATCTTAAAGTTCCACAATTTCTGGGGCTGAATTAATACTAAAACTACTACTAAAGGAAACAAACCTTACGACCAGTCAGATTGGCAATCGACGTGTTGTTACTTAAATTCATCAGGTTGCCAGTTCATCGTTGAGCGGAGCAGCTTGGCCCCACGAGCCAGAAGGCCTGAAGGTGCTGCATCTCTGAGCCAAATGTAGACTTCCTGAGTAAGGCTCCCCAGAAGGCTTATTTCCGTGCTCTTTCCACCAGTTTATGCAACATCCGTTTTATGACTAAAAATGCCACTACTAAAGAGGCTCCAGCACTGAGAGAAAGCTTGGGTTGGAGCTAAGCTAGTTGCTTTATATTTTCAAGTGGTGTTCGGCTGGTGGTGGCGTTCAGCTGGCACCACCCAAGAAAAAAGCTTCGTTCCGTGCTGATAAACACCACTATGCAGTCTAAAAAGGGGGAAAAAAAAGCGTTTTAATGAAGAAACATTGTCTTTATCAAGTATTGTAAAATCGACGTACAAAGGAGCCACAAAGTTTGGCGAAATACCCGTTCGTGAAGTTTTGTCCAAGGTGCAGCGAAGTTAACGATGAGCTTACCTGGGTCGAGCATGTTGGACTTTTAAGAGCCTGTCCGCTTTGTATTGAAGGGCAAGGGTGAAAACACCTCCTCGTATACAATTTAAGTTTTCTTTTTTTTTTTTTTTTTCTATCGATAAGGTTTTTTGTAAAAGAGCTACAATACGCGCGTAATACCGCATGCACTTCTCAGAACTCACAGGGACGGCGCTAAGAGAGCCGCCATTTGTGAGAACGTGTTGCTAAGCAACATATTCGTGAACGCCGCACTTTCGTAGGTATATTTATTATCCTCTACATTAATAAAAATGTTAATTAAAATTTATTTTATATAGTTATAAAAATAATTTAGGTGTTTTATTGTTTTACCCCGTATAATTTGCAGTGAGTATCTGCCCTGCGGCTGCACCAAGGAGGCTGCACGGGTCGCAAAGTTACGCCGTTACGCCTCTTACCGCTGGCAGCCGACACGTAAGTGACATCATTTCTTTTAAGATGGCGGCTCACATGGACATGTTTCTCCGGTTCCTCGACGTCAAGCCGGAAAGCGTAAATTTGCAGATAAAAAAGAAAGTAAGCGCCATCTGTTACTAATTTATCGAGTTTATCGCGTTATACTTTTTTTTTCTTTTTACAGAACTAGTTAATACTGTTTCTTTTATCTAAATCACCAGATGCGGCGAGGCATTTAGCCCATTCATAGCCCTCATCCCCCTTTTTGCCTAATCAAAGTCTTTTGTGGCACTAAAATGATTCTCTTTACAGTTTGACTCATAGAAAAAAGAAAAAGAAAAAAGCAATCGTAATTGTGTCGTGTGTGTATAGCGGGGAATCCAGATCAAAACGGGCAGGGGTGTGGATGGAACGCACATATTGAAGCCGGTATTGTGTATACATAGCTTGAATCGCCGGGTACTGACGGTAATTTCTGCTTACTGGTTTCTTCGAACTACGATTAAAGCGGTGTGAAACACAGCGAACCGAACGCTCGTGGCCCATAAAATGCTAGGATGGCCGCAAATGACATCACATGCAAGCTATGCATAGTCGATGTTGTCTTGTGGAGCAAGTCGTGATTGCCGTCAAACGATGTTTGCAACGTGGCTGGTGGCATATGGTGGGCTTGGGCGCTTCAAAACTTTCCCCGCCGAGATAATAATAAAAGAAAAGGAAAGTAAAGTGAATTAGTAAACTTTATTTTACACACACACACACACACATATCACTTTCTTTCAAAATTTTGTTTCAGGTGCCGAAAACGACGACAGAATCTGGGCAGGAACTGACGGGCTGTGCTCCCATCAGCAGGTACTTTGCTGAACAGTCCGCCAAGGACAAAGAAATTTGGGGTGAGGAAATATCTCTACATTCTGACAGTACCAAAAGCGTGTGTAAAAATATCTACCCGACCTGGTATTAGACAATGTATGTCGTACACTAATGGTGTGGTCAACTAATAGGTCGCTGTCGGGGACAGATAGTTTATAGTCACTGGCAGGCTAAGAAACAGGGCGAGTCTCCGGGATCTCATTATCGCCCTGCAGCCAGTGAGATTGCATCATTAGCCAATAAAAAAGACAATGAACGAATTGCGAAGCAAGGAGCGTAAGAGGCCACGCCCTGCATTTTTTAAACTCTCAGTGACAGCACTAATCCTTCAGTTGGCTCTCAATTAAATATAAAAAGATTAAGAAATAATATTGATTAGCTCGTACATAATAAGGCTAAAACTAAGATTCTGTGTTTTCAGAGTTTATTTTTCGTCAAAATCGGATTGTGTTTTTCAGAGTTTATCTTTTGCCGAAAATTCAGAGTTTATTGGAATCTGTTTTTGTTCCATTCCCGATTCTCTGAAATTCAGAGCTAAATCTTGCCGTGTTTTTTATTTTCCAGGAATAAAAATAAATGGTATCCAGGTGTAGATGTATGCTAGATTCAAGAAAGCGTGCTTGTGTCAATTTATATGGATTCAACTGTACTTGGCATTTGCTCCCTTGCAAGTGGCAATACTAATTTGTTCCACGACAAAAGTTGCTAACTAATGTTGCTTCGGTGAATGTCGATACCTTAAATTCAATAAACTCCTATACTCTGCGACAACTTTTCTTGGCAATGCAGTGGAAGGTACAGGCCCGCGTCCCCTCTCCCATTTTGAGTGTACGCAGGCTCTCCTCCTGGACGCCTCGCTCCAGGCAATCCAGCACCGTGAGCTTAGTAAAATTAGTGCTTTTTTAAAGCATTTAGCTTTTTTTCTTTTTTCTTTTTTTTTTTTTTGCATGTCTTTACGCGTTTGACAATGTCAGCTTTATGCTGCTTATGCCGGAAGCATTGCGAAATGTAGCTGTCAAGTCCCAATTTTTACGTTTAGGAATTAGAGGAATGGAATGGAACGATTGAGCCATTCCAGGAGTGGGAATGGGCCCAGTGTCCCCAATCCTAGGAGTTGAAAGGAATTGAATTATCGAAAACTCTAATTCCCGGAATGGAATTGGAATGGAATGGGGGGTGCCTATTCCACAACACTGCTACGCACCATTGTCGAGTTGGCGTGGTTGTCCGAGAGGGATAATGTAGTGCAGATTCTCAGTTCTCGAATATTCGGAGCGGCGAAGTGGCGATGCGGTAAGGTCGCAAGGGGTAAGGCTCGTTACCAGGCCATAGTCACGACTGCTTAAGAATTGCGGGCGAGGCTTATTGTGTTCGCACTTCTTGTTTTGTGGTTTATTCTTCCTCGTTCGTACTAACTAACGTTGGGATCTCAATAGCCACGGACCGAAAACAGGATGCTTGGTGCCCGCCGCACTCTGCGTTTCTTAAGCTCTTGGTGACTGTGGCCTGAAGATGCCGAACCGTTCCCTTTGACTGGATCAAGCCTCCCTGAGTGATGCAGGGGAGTGACTCGGTCAAATAAGCAGGCACTTTAACTGCTTATTTTTAGGGTGGTTTTGTTGCCTTACTACAGTAGGACGTGAGATTAGAGTGTGTCGACATTCTCGAAACAACAGTTCACAAGGTTCCTGTGTCCTTGGCAGGAAAGACTCCGCAGGACCGGGCAGAGATCCAGCAGTGGCTGGAATACAGGGCACTGCACCTTGACGAGGTGGTACCGACGCAAGAGGCAGTGCACGAAATTCTTCAGGTAAGGATTGGATTGGATTCAGTTGTGTGCAACTGTGTTGGCAACATTGTCCGCCTCCATGCAACTGAGTACAACTAACTTGCACGGCTGAGGGATAGGCGGGACAAAGGAAAATTTGGACTCCCTCCCGCACGGCTCGGGCCCAAAGTCTCAACCCTGTCCCCCCGTGGGTCGGGTGTTAAGTGAAGCTGACGAGGATCGACCAGAGGAACATTGGCAATTCCCTTGGCGGGGGCGGGGGTGGGGGGGGGGGGGGATGTTTTGGGTTTTTTTTGCCTGATCCCCCAAAGGTCTGCGTGGCGATCATCTTCATGACCTTGTGATAGTTAGAGAAACGCATTGGCTGGAAAGGAAAAATTAGGTTTTTGTTATTATTTTTAGGCTAGGTGGCGCAAGCTGCCGCCCATTACCAAGGGTACAGCCTTTATCATCCATCCAACCTCATATTGCAGCTCCCCAGACCCTCCCTATGTGTTTCCAATGGCAACTTTTTAATCCAATTGCTCAACAACCATTCAACAAATAGACTTCAAGATGGCTTTATTAAAAAAAAGAATAAAAAAACAATATGTAGGGCGGTCACACTTTTCCCCAGTTTTGGGGCTAGAGATTTTCTACAGGAGCTTGAATTCTTTCAAACTGCCCCTATTTTCAACCTGCCATTCTTGAGCAATTCTGAAGAAAACAGAGACACTATACTCACGGTCAGCTTTCTGTGGCAATCCAAAGAGAGCAGGAAAGCGCGTGCACAGCGGTTGGTGCACCCTCTCCCCTAGCATTGACCGCTCTGTCGCAGAAAGCGGACTGCGAGTATAGTAGATTTTTTGATAATGCATTGTGGAAGGTAATTTCTTAGCATACCTTTCTCCAACAAGATCTTTGCTTCATGTATTTCAATAGAGGAATAGGAGGGTCAAATTTGCACTCCAGTGAAAGCCTGAAAATTGCTTTTCTCGATGGATTTCACCCTCTATTCCGTGGCGCCATCTGTGAGCAATTTTTCGCAGTCATTTCACAATCGCGGTCACCTTGTGTTAGTGCGCAGCGACGTACTGCTCGCATGACCCCGTTTTTTCAGTCTTATTCAAGGTTTCAGGGTGCGTGCTTCACAGATCATATATTTTTTTGTGTTTGTGTTTTAGTTAGGGATGTGGGCAGAGCTGCGAGTAAATGACGCAGTCGTCGTTTTTTCAAGCGGAAGTTTGTCACATGGGGTGGAAGTTCGTCACATGGCACCACTCAGGTTTAAAGTCATTGGCTTTTTTTGACCAGAGATAAAGGACATGAACGTCTACAGAAGCTCGAGATCTGCGAGGGAAAGTGTCAGACTTTTTCTATGGACTCGAGCTCTTCACCGCGTGTTAATGAGGTCCTAATCCTAAGCTTTGTACAAATATTTAGATGTGCACAGTTCGTAAAATTAATTTCTGCCAAATAAGCCTTCGATAGCACCACCATCTGCAATCTCCAATTTGTCCCCGCCTCCCGCTTCAGTGTTGACACCACCAAAAAGAAGCATGTCTTTTGTCACACTTTGTGAATTTCAAGCACATGGAGAGTTCTCAACTAGAAATATTTCAAACTTTTATGGAGAATGCAAATATTCACAGAAAAATTTAGAAAAGCTACGTTGTGCCTATGATTGTGATTTTTATGTTTTGGCAGCAACTTCTGTACCTATCGGTTTGAGTGCGCATGTTTTTTTGTATACCTGTACAAATATGTATGTCTTCGTACACGTGTGTATGATTGCTCATATTTTCGTACATGTGTGTACTGAGGTAAAGATGCGGTAGCTGTCTGCCTGGTCAAGAAGCGACATAAATGGCGATTAAGAACTCTAATCATAAATTTAATATACAGAGTCCTGACGTTTCGGCCGCGCATAAGACTTTGACAACAGCACAACACTGGTCTCCCAGAAGACTTGGAGAAAGCAGCTTTTTGGGAGTCATAGGGCTCATCCAACGTGCAAAAGGGAAATGAACCTCTCTTCAGGTTCTTTTCCCAGCAACTATGCGTCGGGGCTGCTTGACATCATCAAAGCTCCGCACTTCTGTGTGTATATAAACGAGGCGTGTCCTTACGTGGACTTGAGCGTAAAGCGACCTGGTCCCGATTCGTCACTGTGTATGGTTGGAGTTCTTCATTGCTGTCAATGTGTGTATGAAAACATGCAGTGAGTGTCAAAATGTCCCACCATATAGCCTTAGGACTGTTTTGTAAAGCTGAAAAAATCGTAACATATGTAAGGCGCGGCAGCAACGATCATCACATGCAGGCGACACTGCTTTGCGTGGAAACCGGCAAGCAATAAAATAAAGCTTGCACGAAGCGCTTCAGCGTCCAGGAGCTGTAAGAAATAATTGTGAAAATTCAGCATTCAAAACATCCTGTCACGGTATTGGTGAACTGAATGAAGAATGAGAGCGCAGGCAAATCGCAAACGCAACTAAACCCCGATACCAAGAAAATACTGTACAGTCATAGGAAGAGGTGCTTACATGTATAAACACCGTGTGTAAGTGATTTTTCTGTATTTTTTTGTTTTCGCATTGGTATTGGACTTTGGTTATGGTTGCACATGAATTTTATTATTAGTTTACGCACCCTGGTGGCCATAGAAGAAAAAACTCAGCACTCGAAGTCACTTTTATTGAGGCAACAGCGATTAGCTGAGGACTCCCTTGGTATCATCTGCTCCGTAATCGAACGTGGAACTAAAATGAAATTTCGGTGCTCTATGATATAATTCAGATGACGCAACTAAGGCTTTTTTTTTCTTTTATAAGTTATATACTTTAACAGTCAAGACCACATCTCTTTTTTGCGTTTTGTACATCATGTAGTTTGGGTAATATTAAATAAGATTTGATTACATCTAGCTTTGAAGTACGATCTTTGTGAGAAAGAAATATGTTCTGTGGAGCTTTGGGGTGCAGGGCAATCTAAACCTCTGCTAGTATTACGACAAGATATCTGTTTCCATGCATCTTGCCCAAACTCACAAAACACAGACGGAACAGACAAAAGGGCTCAATGCCTCCCCCTCCAGCAGTCTTCGTCTTTTTTTCTGTTCGATCCGAAAAAAATAAGATTATCTTCTCAACCCCCCCACCCCCGCATCCAGCCCTCTCGTTTCTAGGTCAAGTGTCCAAAGATAAAAGACTTTTTTTTTAATTTATTGATGGAAAGAAGGAACTCTTTTGCAACTAGCGCAGTCCGTACGGGAAAGAAAGCATCACCCTCAGTGCCACCTGAATTCGTAGAATGTTCCTATTTTAGTTCTAAATCAGCTGCAATATCCTCTTAATATGATAATTTAGGGAGAAACGTCCCACGCATTCCAGCCACTTCGGAACGCCGGGGAATAGGCGCGGACATTGGTGGTCCCGACAGGCCCATGTTGCTGGCGGTGCCTTAATATGCACGATGAAGCAGCAAAGCATCACCGGTTAGGTCTGTGCCTAGCTCTATTCTGGCTTACTTTGCAGGAAAGCAGCTGCGTCGCACATAGCATAAAGATATACAAAGTTGACAAGCACTCAAACAACTTGAGCTCGTCGCGATGAAACAAGGTCGCCTAACCTACTGTCAGACTTCTTTTTCTGTTGTTCTGTCGCTTTATTTCTCATTCTTTTTTCTCAGAACCTCCGATGTCAGCACTTACGATTTGCCGCGTTCTGCTCTCGTCTTTACCCCCCCTGCTGTGCAATGATGTAGTTTGTAGACATGTATTTAGTTCGTAGCAGCACGAAAGTAAACCATTTGGTGTTTGACGAGCTGCATTTTTCTGAGGGTGACTACCACCAACCTCTAGCTTATAACGAGTCACCTCATTCGAAGCAATTTGCAACTCCAGCCCGCCACTTGCCCTCTCGCGGACAAACAGAGAACCAGAGGAGCGGGGACGGCGGCGGCGACGGCGGTGGCACAGAAGCGGTGGCCGAGGCTGTCGGCCTTAATGCGTGAAGCCATTCTAACGAAAAAAAACTGAGCGCGTTAAAATAGGAATTATTGCTTCGCCTAGCAACAGCGTCGCACGAAGGACCGGGATGTCTAATTTCATTAGAGACCTTTCGTATATCGCATACGCTGTGGATTTCTGGTCTTGTTGTCGCCAGCTCAATCTGTGCTTCCTCTGACGGCAAACACTTTCACTAGTGTTTGCAGTTAGATCACGTGTTGCAACACACTAAAACCGAGACGGTGAGCAGCGAGTTGTGAGCCTGTGACACGAAGGCATCAATACTGTGAACGCTGCTCTTCCGGAGCTTGACGGTAACCGTGCGCGGCTCACATTTTTTTTAGCACTAATGGCCAGGCAAAGCGCAAACAAAATATTTTCATCACCCTCAAAAATATTCTGCCAGGAACAGTGATGTGGACGGTTCCTAAAACGCGCTTGCCCACCACAAAGCCTTGCAAGTTGAGGTTTCTGCAACTTTTGGATATCAACATGCTTGTTTTCCTAAGGCGCAGCAACATCTCCGTCACCTGTAATAGGATCCTCCCCTAACCGTTTTGCGTTTGTAGACAAATAAATCATTTTAGCACACTGACCAGCGTCAGCGAGCAGGCCCACGGAAATCCTGGAGAATCTATCCCCGTCTTTTCTGCCATCTTGGAACTACTGCCCCGCCACCTATAGGGCGTTGGAGTTGCGAATAGTGTGAAACAAAATAAGCTTCTACGAACTGGGCACGACGCCTTTATTTATGGTACAGTCGGCTCTCGGTAGTTTGAGGTCGCTTTATTCAAATGATTGATTTCAAGGTGAAAGGTGGAGTGCAACGATTCTGACGTTGAAAAAATTTGCAGTCTGTATTTTATATATTGTTTATCTAGGCACAAGTGAGAAGAAATATGCCATTTTCCCCCGAAAAATGGCTATTTCGCTGTGTAATTGCAAAGGAAAATCTAATCATTTGCTGATCTGCAGCCGCGCGTGGCTGTTACGGTAACTACGGTGACACGTCTTTGGAGTGCATACGGAAGTCGACAGGACCTGTCCCCGTCTGCTGCTACTTACCGTCAGTCCCGTGGTGAACCATCTTGTGTCGATCGCTCGCTGCGACGTTCGGCGATGCTAATCCTTGAAGAGTCAACAATGGCGGAGGGAGCACCCAATGGGAAACTAAGTGGTCCCCCAGGGACGTCACTCAAAAATGGCGTGACATTTGAGGGGCACTTTGACCTTCCATTTGTTTATTTTATTTTTTTTTAAATACATACTAGCGTGCACAGGAAAACATGGTTTTCTGTTCTTTGTTCTATAGGTGACAGAGATTAATTCTTGCAGTTAATTGGCCAAAGTCCAAAAAATCTTTGCACCACCCCTTTGAGGTGGGCTTTAAGATGACTTTCTTTTTTTCACCCAGTCACTTTATTTCAGGAACTGAACTGCTACATGGGAGATCGGACATACTTCGTGGGCAATGGCTTGACTGTGGCAGACATTTTCATGTACTACAGTCTTCATTCCTACTTCGTAAGTGTACATTACACTCTGCAAAGACTTCGGAGAGATTCTTAAAGTAAAGCTGAGGCATCCTTGTTCTCCTTATTGCTGTTTGCATGCATGCAAGCAGTCCTTGTTAGAGTCCCACAAGATGCCTACTTTTGCTGTTAATATATTTCAAAGTATAGGGTTAGGGTCCCACAAGATGCCTACTTTTGCTGTTAATATATTTCAAAGTATAACTCCGGTGCAATCGTCAGATTTCCCCACAAAAGACCATTAGAGCTGTTGACGAAAATCGCTGAGTCTTTGGGGTAGTAGCTTCGTTATTAACGTTTCAGCTCTGAAGTTCCTGTGTCGAATATGTAAACAATGTATGGTAGTGTGAAAATTTGTCTATACACACTCAAGAAAGTTGTTGTCTACCATTCCTAGGGCCTGGGCTTGGCTTTTTGTTCATCTAAATATTTTCTTTTCACTTGCTCTAATTTTAATTTTGTCTTGCTTTTCCGTGCCAGGTGGCATTGACCTTCAGGGATAAGGAACGGTACCACCATCTCTCCAGATGGCTTGCTCTTGTAAGTTCTGTTGTTGCCGACTGAATCACTGTTGTCAGACTGATATCTGTTTAAGCCACACTTACATGAAGGACATAGTTTTCAATTTGAGCCAAAGACACGTTCAAAGTATACTCCGTGTCACTAGTTGCGTACAGTACAGGCGAAGCCAATGCCAGGTGAGGAGAGAAAGGGAAAGTACTAGGAAGGGTGGGGAAAACGAGAGCAACCTTCTTTTTTCTCTAACATTCCTGGTGCTCTCCCTTTCTCCCCTTGCCCTCCATTACCCTCCTCTCCCATCCCACCTTTCTAGTGCTCGCACTTCCTCTCTTCGCCTGGCGTTGTTTTCGCCTGTATTGCACGCAACTAGTGACACGGAGTATAGTGCCCTGCATTTTTAGTTAATATTTTTGTGAAATTCGTTCTATCTATATACGTACGTCCTTACTCTGATGCTAGACGACGGATCCAGCTTCGACGAGTACAAAGTCCTTGCGGAGCTTTTTGCCGGAGTATCCTACGACGAGGAAAAGATGCGAGGTAAGAGTTCTACTTTTTTAAAGAGTGTGTAAAAGAAACTTTATAGCTTTATTTTTATCGCGCAGGTGTGGATGCTATCATGGAAGATGCTATCATGGAAGTTGTTCCCGAAACAGAATGTTCTTGTGCTGATGGCCAAGTGGAGAACGACAACCATAACCATAATTTGCAGGAAGCTGTTTTACAAGAATTTAGAGAATTGCTCACGGCAATGTCAAAAACAGTTGAGCCCAATGCGCAAACCATGAAGAATAGCATCAACGACAGCGTCAACAGAAATAAGACGCCTGCCAAAGACGATATCTTCATCGCAAACACAGATCTTAGAGAATGCCTGCTCGTCGGAGATTCCAATAGTTCTACGATAAGCACAAACGGCGATTACATCCACAGCGAAGACGAATGTATACCTGAAGGTGTCGAATTCGCGAAAATTGAAGATTCGAACCACGAAGATCTCAGCAAAGTCACAATGTACAACATTGAACAGGCTGTTGCACGATGTGATTTTACTAGTACCCCCGCCATCAACATGGATTACGGTGATAGTGCCGTTGACGATGCATCCTTTCCAGACTTTTGCAACAAGTCGAAAGGCACTCAATTGCCAGCCGGGACTTTCATACGTACTCACCGTAACATCATTCCGCTCAAAAAAGCCGAAAACGTCTTTAGACACATGATAAATTTTAACAATCCGTGTCTTATTCACGGCAGTGTGAACTGGGATAATATCCTCGAGTTATTTTCCCTAACTACAGAAAGTGTCGAATTGTCTAAAAACACTGAAACGCCTACCCTATCGTGCACAAGATTAATCCTGAACTCCATAGAGTATATTGAAAATCTGTCAAAAGACGTTGAACACCTAAAAATAACCATTACTAATTTATCAGATACTCTCTTGCACAAAATAGTAACCAAAGCGCCAAGATTAGTTTCTCTCGAAATTGCCGATGCTTCGATGTTGTCCTCTCAATCCCTGCAACATGTGTCGTGTTCTTTAAGGGAGTTGCAACATCTAGTCATTTATCAATACTTTCGAATGACTAACAAAGGAATACGCTACTTGGGGCGATCTAACATGAAATTAAAAACTCTCTGTCTAATTGGTGACAAAGTGAATGAAAAAACTTTTCACAGAATTGTCAGAAACCACAGAGAACTCCTTTGTGCATTCTGTAATGTGATCGAATGAGTCCCCCTACATTTTTTTCTGTATATATATCAGCCACACATTCTGTACAAATGCATTGAATGATTTTCCTTTTATATGTATAGTATTGAACAAGTGTCTTTTTTACTTTGAACATGTAATAAAAACTATATATCGAAAAGTTCTTGATTCTGTTTTATTTATATTAGTTCTTTATAACAAAAATATAAAAACATACCTGGAGATGTGGCGTATACACTCCCCCTCTGGGATGGCATGCCCCCTGGTGGCATGTATGCGTTCACCTGGCGGTAAGAAAGGCAATGCGATCCTAGCGGCGCTTTTTATCCGTGCGCCGAACGGACTGACTAGAAATGAGTGGAGCAGAGCGACATAGGAAAAGTTACCCTAGCGGCGGCCATGGCGTCAACGTTGCGACCTCTGGTGGCAACATAGCGATCTTGGCGGTATCTCGTGGTGGTCTGAAACATTTATAAACACGTCCTGATAGGGGAGTCGGTTTACTATCTCTCAACAAACACCTCACGTCATATAGATAAAAAGAAATATGAAAAAACATAGCATATTCTCCACTGACGACTAGCCTAAGAATGTGTAAATAAACCAGACTTTATTACACCCCCCCCTCACGTGTTGTTTTTGTCTGCGATTGTTCAGGACGTCCTAATAAAAAAGAAATGTTTTTTTTTTGATGAGAATTTGTTCCCCCACGAGAGTTTTTTCAATGCCAAAATAACAACCTATAATCTTCTACACAATGTTTTAGTTTAATGTATATGACGCTATTCCCTTAATCGCAAGGTGACTAACGAAGTATAGTAAATAAAGATTTCATTTCAGTTATGAAAGAACGAATGTTTGCTGTTGATTGATCGTTTTATTCACACAATCATAATACACTCCATTATAAAATATTTCAATAGATGTAAAAACAAACCATAGTATACAAAATTTCCATAATGAAATGATATAACATTGCAAAAAACCATTACATTATAGAACAATGCAATCAAATAGTACAATATGCACAAAGAAGTTGCTTCTGGATATGAATAAGTCTTTGGAAACTGTTAAACTTCATGTTCTTGCTTCCGATTAAACAAAGCGTTCGAAGCGTAGGACGCGCAGCTGCGAGACACATCAATGCTACATTTGTCATCAGTTTACAATTCCTAATGTACAAATGTTCCAAATTAAATTTGTTAGCAATCATTCCCATCGCCTTGTTTGTTAGCAATGAACCGTCTTGGATATGAAGCAATAAAAGATTCGGAAATGTAGCTGCAATCATCTGCAAAGTGTGTTCATCTACTTGCAGCATTGCCGACAAATAGATATAACGCGTAGTTGTTGGAGTGTCGATCAAATCCAAAACGTTTGTTATAAAGTTCAAATTGTCATGTTCGTTAGAATCCAAAAACAAATTAGTCAAATCACACCAATGACTTTCTGGATGTTGCAAGCATAAATTAATGCACTCTACATGCTGCATAACCAACAGGGAAACCTCAAATGGAATACAATTTTCGTGAGTACGTATAAAACTTCCAAGTGGTAACGAATTAACAGAAATACCAGAGCAAGTTGGCTCCGCCTCCTCATCGTCGTCGTCGTCGGCGACATCAGACCCATCGTCGTCGTCATCCTCATCATCCTCAAGGATGTTGTCAGTCTCGGAAGCAGCAGCAAACGCACCGTCCATTTTGTCGGTGATGGAACGTACCTCTTCGTCGAAGACCTTACGAAGTGATTGTAGATCTCCATTGCACGATGATGGTTCGCAGATAGAAGTTTCCTTCGTCATGGCGATAGCAGTGGCATAGTCCCTTTTGTAGGTGGCAGGAATCTTTTCTTCTTTCTTGTCCTTGATGGTGGGGCTACGAGGTGATTGTAGATCCCAACAGGATGGATCAGGAGTAGAACGGCCATCTTCGTCCATAGCGTTAGTAGTAGTCACCGCATCGGTATCGTGATCTCTTTTGTAGGTTGTAGGAACCTGTTTGGTGGGTGGGTTGTCAGGTTCTTGTAAACTCCACGAATACGATGGTGATGGACCGGGAGTAGACAGCGTATCTTCATTCATAGCAGCAGTTGTAGCGAAGGCTACTTTTGCAGAACGTTTCTTGCGAAGTTGTTCCATGTCGATGTTATGGGATGTGTGTTGTGGTGGTGGGTGGTGGTTATATATCCACTTTTTCCTTCGCCTGTGGTAAGGGTATAGTTACCTTTCCACTCTTTCTGTAATGTTGACATAAATAAGCCATTGCAAAAGAAACCGTTTCATATTTTTATCTCTTCGCACATTCTCTCTCTCCCTCCCCCTCTCTCTCGCCCTATCTCTATATTTCTTTCACAACTACAAACTAAGCAGCGGTGCGAACGGTACAATAAGAACATAACATATTTGTTATTCTATGCATGACCATTTCAAAAGGAAATGATTTTACATCTCCTCCTGAAAACGCCATTGTTCTCAATTTATCTTCTAAAGTCGATAGTAACATCCAGGAAATACAAATTCTCTAGCTAAATTAGGACGATAATATTTATACTCATCGTTAAACGATGAGAAGCACATTATCTAAAATTAAATTTAAATATGCAAAAAATGCTTAGCTGCACCGTTTCAGAAATATTTATTGTTAATTATGCAATATTTATATCTTTGAAAAACAATTAGGCAGTTCTATTTTTGGAAATTCCTTTCATTTTTATTTCTGCACTCATTCAGAATAATCTGGCAGCGAGGGTATACACAAGTGTATATATAACAACGTCGAAGTCGGAAACCTTTCTCGTCACCTGCCCATGCCAGCTAATTGGGGCTAGGCTAACCTAGGTGACGTAAAACCTTAACGGCGCACCACCACCACCACGGAAACCTTTCAACTGGGTCCTCAGACTCTACAATTTGTTGTACTACCGTGGATTCTAATTTCACTGCATCGGAATGTGTCTAACATCCATGAATATACGGTAGATATTTTGTTTTCAATGAAATGTGTTTTAAATACTGAGGGAAATGGGATTTCTAGTCTATTTTTTTTTTGAAGCTAATGTTTTTGTGGTTTTTTCTTCCAAAAAATGCAGACTTGCCATATCTTTTATATGCGGATGAAGATATGATGTGGCAATTGGACACTGGTGAAACTCAAGATCAAGCAGCGTCCTATACCATCACTTTTCCAAACTCGTGGCACCTTCAAGACATCCAACTCCCACAAATCAAGATAAAAAAAGGATATCGATTTACAATACTATATAGTGTTAAAGTCTAGCGGAAACTGGTAAAAATACCATGTTGGCATAAGAATATCTAGTTGTTTCTACTTTTTTCTTTTATGCGATCTCTAAGATAGATATTGATATTGTTTTACAAATGGAAAAAATGGACTTTCGTGAAAAAGACGATAACACTTTACCGAAATGTAATGGACTACAGTCGGCAAACCTTCCAAAAGGGTGTTTTCTTGCACGTAATAGCTCAATTTTATGTGCGGAAGAAGTTATGAGACACGTTTTTATGGGAAACCAACATTGTGATTTGCATTGTTTCACTTTATGGTCAGATATTATAGATTCTTTTAAAATTAATGTTAATATTGGATTCGTAATTTTAGACGACACAAAGGAATGTTCTGCGGATATATTAGTTATGTTAAAGAATGAAAGAACGAAGAGAGTTGAACTTTGTTCTCCTAATTGGATTCCTCATTTACCTAGTCACATCAGACGTCTCTTCATCTATGGAGGAAAATGGTTAAACGATAACTTATTATATGACATAATTCTTAAAGTACCCAATATATCGACGCTAGAAATCGAAAATGGGTCGAAATTGACTAATAATGCAATTCAATTCCTAATAACGAAATGTAGATATTTAGAACATTTTTACATAAATTCGTGTGAAAAAATAACTGATGTGACACTGTTATCGTTAGCAAATGCATCTGCACACCTTAAAACAGTGTGTTTAATATGTAATAGTGTACCGTTTCGATACGATGCTTTCAAATGTTTAATTGCAAAACAGTCTAGTATTTTGTTTGCATTTTGTACGGTGCAATAAAATCAAAAAAGTTGTGTTAAAGTATACGTACATCTTTTTATTTGTCGTATAATATCTCGTTTTTCTTGGAATAAATATATCAAAACATTCCAATAGATATTTTACATTCTTCGTTCTTTGCATTCATTCCAGTAAAGGTGCAACATTCGTCAATTACATCATCGGTAAAGATAACCAAACGTCGCAACTTGTTACAAGATGCCACAAAAAACCAAATTTCGTCTCTGCTTGGTTGTGTAACAACACTAATGTGTAGCGTTTCTAGATTGTGAGAATGTCCATGAATTTCTTTAAGTGTGTCAAAACACACTGCATGAGTTCCCATGAGATGAAGAAATATTAGGCGAGAACCTAAAGAACGAATTAAAATGTGTAAAGCACGATCATCGATAAAGTAACAACCGTCTATACTGAGTACACATAGTTGATCTAATGTTGTCAAGAGGATTGCAGCATCGACGGTCATTAAATCCGATACTACAGAAAATGACAACGTTTGTAAATGAGGAAATTTCGCAACTATCACAGCCATGTCTTGATTGGACAAATTCGGGATGTTTGTTAACTTCAAAGCTTTCGTGTCTTCTCGTAGATGAGGAATCCACGCGATCGAGTCGATTTCAACTCTTTTGATGGGACATCTCGCCAAAACACCAACCATCGCTGGGTACGGTTCTAATCCGGTTAATTTGGTGACAGCCTTCACCATGACTATACGAAGCATAAAAACTCGCTACTATGACATAAGCAGTACGAAATAGAAAGGCACGGCCAAGCAACACGAAAATAGATTCGCAATGCTATCTATACTACTATTGGCGATTTCCGTTTGTGAGGGTTCTTTTATACACGATGCGTACGTGAACGGTTTAGTGGTTGAATTTTCCGACACAAACGAACTCGTATCGTATCCAGAATTGTTTTCTCAAGAAGATCAAACGGCTAAGCGTTTCTTTGATTCTTTACAATTGATTCATCACATACGATATCCGTGTGACGTTTTGCGTGGAAAAAAGTTTGCAATATCTTGCGTTTGGTTTAAAGAAATCAATAGTCGCTTGCAAAATTATCTAGGAATAGTATGCAACAGTTCTCTGACAGCGATATCGCATGTGTTGCGTCGATATTCGCTAATTGCCCATATACCAAACAATGCTGACGTACTTTTAACTACGTTGTCTAAGAGGTATATGCAATGCAGATTAGACGAAGAAGTATACGCTTGCAACGAATTACACAAATCGATTAATATAACAAGTTGCGCAGATGTTAGACAATTTAATCGTGTTGGCAGAGTACTTCTTCCTTGTCCTTTCCTCTTCAACAAAACAAACAATAATTTCACAGCGAGAGAGGCTGCGGATTGTTATAGATGGTTTAGTACCCTAAATGATTTGCGTACATCCACGTGTGGATCTGGTGTAATACAAGATATAAACAACTGGTTCGCTATATCTGGTAAGAGTAAGATATCGCTAGAACGATATAATTATAATATAAGAAATTTGGAAATGAATTTGAATAGGCTGCAAGTTGAACTCAACGAGAACAAGACACGTTTATTACAGGAAAAATTTGATTTACCTAAGACACAATTTTGTAATACTACAATTAATAATACTAATCAAACTAGTGGCGCATTAATAACAACGAAACATATTGATCTAGTTCTTAATCAACAAAAAGAATATTGGAAAAAACTAAACGAAACTTTACATACTAGTTACTTTAAAGCTATCGAAGAAATATCTAAAGAAACAAATAATAGTTTATTCCATTTAATAGTAGATGGGGAACGTAAGAAAATATTACATAACTTTTACAACAATACGAATTCTCAATTGAATTGGACAACAGCAAATAATTTATTACGAGAACGCGATGAAGCATTGGCGAAACGAGATAACTGTACGCATACCATAACAATGCTCACTAACATATCAAATAACATTGCATCTCAATGCGTTGTGAACGAGCGAACGCGAATATATGTAGAAAATTGCGAACGCGAAATACATATGAATCAAGATCTTTTGCATAATAGTCTGACTTACAGTTTGGCTAATTATACAAAGTTAAAAAAATGTAATCACGAATTAAATATTTGTATGATGGATGTCAAAAAATCTGCATTATCTTGTGTAGAATGCCACGTATTATCTAAAAATTTGAAATCCGAATTGTTAATGAAAGACATGCAAATTGAATCTTATAATACATTGTTAGAAGCTTGCCGTGAAGAAAAGGCGTCTCGAAATTGTTATGAGAAATTAGAAAATAGTTACGAAGATGCTTCCAACTTGCGTAACAAATTGCATTTATGTAATACTTTAAACGACGACTATAAATTCTTAAACAATAAACAAAGCATCGAATTAGAAGAATTGAGTGCGAATTACGATGACGTTGTGCGTTATAAACAAATGTTTCTAGAATTAAATGAAGTACGCATAAGTAAACAATTGGAGATGCATAACGTTACCTGCGAAACAAAAATAAACGAGGCTGTGAGTGTTGCGTTATTAAAATCATCAAATGTTTATAATTCGCATTTCAACCTTCTATATGGTTTGGAACAAACAGTTGAAACAGAAGATTGTGAAGAAGAAATAGCTAGAAACGTTAGTTTAGCAGAGGTGTATACACCTACGTTGGAAAGTTTACGGGAAACAACGCAATACACAGCTAACATAAATTGCGATGTCCAACGAATCGATTGGTGTATTCAATACATGTCCTCCGATATGCCACCGTCGAGTATAGACGTTTTGCGGTACTTTAACGTTACGAGAAAGGTAGTTCACCAACCGTCGTGTGAAAATAGAATCAACAGACTCAATGAGAGCGCTCACGTCATGCGTTTATTAACATACAACTTATTTGGGCGCGAAGAAAAGTACACCGGTGAAACATCTTCTGCATTAGAAATATGCAGAATATACATTGCCCAAGATAGAGACTTACTCGAATCCATAGATAAAAAACCCATTTACATTTATCGCGATTCGTCCCTCCCTTTACCGGATCTACCACACGTAGAAGACGTTACCGATACCGATGATTTACAA